TTGCTCACCTGTCTTCCTGTTCTCTGAAGTTCAGCCACGTTTTGTCTTATCTACGTGTGACCTAATGGCGGACATCTGTGTTTTCCCAGGCCGCTGGCAAATTGTAGGTGTGTGAGCGTGGGTGTGAGGGTTTGGCTCCTGTCTAGGCCGATGCAGAGTAAATTACAAGGCAGAGGCAGTCTGAGGATTGAGGCTTTTCATTTCATCCCCCTTTCTGCTGCTCCTGGCCTGCAGGCCTGCTGGCAGGGCTGATAACTGTGGAGAGGTTACTGAGGGATGATCCTGCTGCAGATGAAGAGGTGGAGGAGAGATCGATGAGCTTTGTCACAGTGCAGATATTAAGAGTGTGTAAAGTTCACAGGAAGATTCTCAGAATAAATAGGTTACAAAGACGGAAAAGTAAACCAGTGGAGGGCCGCCACCTGAAAGACGACTTTTCAAATATTCAGAGGAACACCAGTAGAAGCCAAATCTCTGCACTTTTTGTTTTTTTGGCTGGAAAATTGTACACTAGGCAGTGTAGAGAAATCAAGCTTAAAAATCAGTGACATGAAGAAGAAGTCTAAGAAGTGGGGGCTTGAAATGATTTGATGTCTAGCCAACATGGAGCACTTGCAAAAACTTGTGACTTTTAAATAAAAGTTGATCTTACGAGTTGAACCTCAAGCTCAAGTAGACTGATGAAGGGATTTGGGGTGCGACCAAACTAAAAAAAAAAAAAAAAAAAAAAAGCAACCAGTAGCTAATTCTTTGTTTTGATCAGCCAAATCCAATTCAGCTGACAACATTCTTTGTCTGATACTTTAGACAAGCTTTGCAAATTTAAAATCTCAGAAAAAGGAAATCAAGCAAAGTGTAAAAGTCTTGTTTTTGTTCACACCTGAGGTCGTGTGGTCAGCGTGTTGACGCACTCTTGTCCTGGATGTGACAGAAAGAGAAATCTGCTGTGAGGTCAGAGTGATGACTGAAGTTTGATGTGTTTTATTTAAGGTGACAGGTGACCACATGTGGATCTCTGACTTCTTTAAAGCCCCTCATGCTTTGTCTGTTCACGTTCATCCTCACTCAACCAAAAGTCTCAGATTCCACTGAACATTGTGAAAGCGAGTGCTGATGTGTTTGGAGCCGGGGCGGCGCTGGGAGTGTGTTTCCGCGCTGTTGTTGTTGTTGTTATTGTTGTCAGCTGGGTTTTCAGTTTCCTGGGTGTCAGTGCGGGGGCCATCAGTTCAGATCACAGCAGGGAGGGAGAGCGGGACAAACAGTGACACAACATGCTTACTCAATTATCTCACCACAGATCATAGCAGACATGCATCACAATGTGCTGAGCTGCTTCAGGATTGAAATACTGTGGCTTTGTGTTGTAAGGTTTTACTGCTGCACACATAAAAAAAAGTGTTACACATTCAAGGAAACACCCAAATTAAAAAGAATCATGGGCTGAGTCAGACGCTTTGAGTTACGATCACTGAGTAAAGGAGTAGTTTGGGAACTACAGTTACTCTCTGATTCTTGTAAATAAATCAATTAGATTAGTGATACTACTTATTACATATTATGCAAGAGGTGGACAGCTAGCTGAGCTCTTTTTAAAGTTCAAAAATACACCTACCAGTACCTCTTATATCACATTTGATCTTGTTTGTGTATCTTGATATATTTAAAAAGTGTGTTCTCTGTGAAGTTTAATGCTTTAACGGCGAGTATCTGAGATGTTGGCAGGGATATTTTTAAGATGTAATCAAAGCAAGGCTATCTTTGTCGTCCACAAGTACAAAGTGCAAACAAACTGCAGTTCCTCGAATGACCACTTGAGTCTGGCTTCAAAAGTGAGTCAGTCCCCATAGAGATTCATATTACATTTCTAAATAAACATTTTTACAGCCTGGTACAAAAACTGTTTTCGTTTCTGTATAGATCAACTCTCTTATTTGTTATAAATGCAAGGGTGATAGATTTTAATACAACTCATATTTAAACTTGAATGATACTTAAGATTTTTTTTTTAAATGTGGGGCCAATTGAGGTGTGAAACGAGAGTTGCTTGTTCTTCTGCTCGGGTCACCTTGGCTAGTTCAGTCACTGAGCTGGACATTTGGGCTCTGCTGCTGTTGTTGTTGGTGCCTTTTTGAGAATTGTCATGTAGATAGCAGCTTTCAAATGTCATGCTGTGTGGTTTATAGCACTAATTAGCTGACATGTTATCTGTGTCTGTGCCTTACTTTTACCAATGCTGACTCCTCCCTCCTCATCAGCGCCACCCTGTCGTCGAAATATTGTAAATTGTGGCTCCAAAAAAAACTCTCACAGGGTGATAGACGGTTACCTCTATATAAGGTAGAAACCTTTGTGTCAGGTCAGGTGCTCCACTTGATTTGTTTTATAGAGACTAAGGCGACGCTTTAAAGTAAAGAAGTCAAATTTGGGTAATTTTCAAAAAGTGAAACTAATCCTTTCTCTCTACTGTGAGTTACAGTTTATGAACATTAAAACATTAAAATGAGCAAAAACATGACAATGTATATGCTTAAGCAATATGAACACGGCATTAAAAAAAGTTTTTTATGACTAAAAAAGCTAGAATGTCTTCTCTACATAAATCTACTACTCTACTCTGATAAGTTCCTTTCTGGCTTCTCCACCTGAGACAGAGACGGAGCACAGTGTTTGTTTTCAGGTCATGTGGGTCACCTCGGAGGGCTTTCAGATCCCTCTGGGGGTGATTTATGGAAAGCATGAACTTGTCTCTGAGTGACAGCTAAATAAATCTCCTCTTCTGGGGATTGCATGCATTGTATCACAGAGAGTACCAAAACTGTCGAGCAGCTAGAAGAAAACTTCCTTTGCGGAACAGTTTGATTTGCAGCAGGCTGAGTGTCTTTTTTGAGTGAAGCAGACTAAAGTTAGCTCCTGTCTGGGCAGACGTGGAGCACGCTCAGCTGCAGCTGCTGCTCTACTGCAGGCAGACATCAGGGTCAGACAGTTTATTTCAGAAAAGCTTTCAGGTCAAGGACAAGCCCAGAAACGTCCACAAAGTAGGAGAGGACTGACAGATGTGTTTGTCTCAGACTCATGTTGATCCACATGGACGGAGTCACCTGCAGAGGTGTGTAACATGTTTTCTCACATCAGTGGCTGGCTGACTCTTTTTGTCTGCTGTTAGTAGTGGGTTCAGATTTGTTCTGATAAATGTGTGCAGCTGTAGGCAGTGACTTAGTCCTCGTCATCCTTTGTGTGTAAGAGTAAGGGGGCCCAACATGTCGGCAACCCTGTGTGTCTGAATTTGGACTGCCCTTATCTTGAGCCCAAAAATGATAGTCATAGCTGCATCTCTTGCAGGTTATGTGTGGTAATAATTTGGATGCTAATTTGAGATAGCAAATAACATCTTCAAAAATATACGACCCAAAAGTGAAGAGTAAAACCCTGTCTTTCAGGTCAGACATGTCATAAGAAGCTCTCACTTTATTGTCTATTTTACTATTATTAGGACCATTATTTATAAAATAACCATCAAGCTGGAAGACTTTTAAAAAAATTATTTAAACCATAAAAATTATTAGAAAAATGTTTACTAATCTAGTACATCAAGTGAGACTTCTTTTTGCACCCAGTGGAGTCGCCCCCTGTAGGACCTTAGACTTCACTTCCATCAATCAATCTTTATTTCTATAGTGCCGATTCATAATGTTATCTCAAGACACTTAACAAAAAGAGCAGGTCTAGACTTCTTTGTTATATTGTTTATAAAACCCAACATTAATCCAGCATGAGCATTAAGCAACATTAAGAAAAGTACAGTGGAAAGGAAAAACTTCTTTAAAGAGGCAGAAACCTCGAGCACAACCAGACTCATGACAAACAGCCATCTGCTGAAACTGTGATGGGTTGAGAGGGGATAGAGGATGAGAGAGAGAGAGAGAGAAACTTCAGAGGCCTGGAGGCTACGTCCATTTCTTATATACATCCTATGACCTTACTGTTCTGATCTATTTGCACGATGCTGCTCAGGAAGACGCTTCACTGTTTCAGTGTCTTCCACAACTTCAACAAAGATTAGAATCTTAAACTTTAAGTAACTGTTTATGAGGGCTTTATGGGGGGGGGGGATGTATTTCATTGATCAATTCTAAGCACACAGCTCCTTTCAGACTCAACTTTCCCCTCATTCGGCATCTCCATGTGTTGTGTGTAACATGAGGAGAGCTCCCTCTGTGAAACCTGAGCAGGTGTGGGGGGGGGGGGCAGCAGTGGGATTAATTCAGATCCTGGTCAGTGTTTAGAGGATGAAAGTCAGAGCTCAGGTTGCAATAGAACCTATTGTTTGGCTGCAGGTAATAGCATTAGCAAACAGGCTATTGTGCCGCCATCGTTGGCTCTGATTGTTACTTTTCTTTTCAGCGTTTTCTTTCTCAGGCTGCAGCCAAAGACTTTTTCTACCCCTCCTCTGCCCTCATGGCACCACGTTGTCTCTGTAATGGAAAGCTCATTAGTTCCATTTGTCTGAGACTCTGGATTTCACCTTAATGATCTTAACCAGCGTGTCTCCACAAAAATGCCAGAGTGGAAATTTAAGAGTCCCCGTACCAGATCTCTGCAGACTGCCCCTCCATTTTCCATCACATTTGTTGGCAAACCAAGAATCTCTCTGCAGGCATTCGTGTGACATGTGCCTTCATATACATTTGACAAAGAGTAGTAGGGCCTAAAGATAGTGGTCCAGCTCTATGGATCAATTGTTTATGTCAAAAAAAAAAGTCATGATTGCTTATTTTTAGACTTTAATGAAAATGGGAGTTTGTCTTTCAGTCAGCCTAATAGAAGATAATTGAGTCAATAAAACTGTAACAAGGTTAATGCCTTAATACGGATGTCTGAGTAGGATTAAATCTGACTGTAAAAAGATGGTTGTTGTGTGGTTCTTTTATAAGTGTTTGGATGTTGGTTTGATTCCAAACCATTGAGCTGTGACTGACTCTGTGTGTGTCTCTGTCTGACAGCCGTATCTAACCTGGATGTGGAGAGTAAGCTGACAGCACATTATCAGGCTCCTTGGCACCAGCAGAGGAATGTTTTCAACTTCTCCACCCGGCCAGTATGTGTGGAAGAGCTCCACAGGCAGGCCAACTTCAGCCCGTGGGCCCTGCACAGAGGTGAGAGGAAGAGTGACACCCACTGAGTTTGTGTGTGACCACAACACAGAAGCAAAGTTAAATCATAACCAATGTGTTTTATTTTGACAGGTCAGAGAATAACTACATTTTATCTTGTTGTGTTTCTTACTTTATTTAAAATGTCTCAACTGGCAACATCCTGCCTGCTGGTTGTTAGTAGAACCATCTTATTCCTGTGTTGTTCTGCCCTCTAGTGGACACATTGTGTAAATGCATGTTGGTCATTAAAGCGTTTTTTGATCACTTGGATTACATAACCTGAAATGTTGCTTTTACAGGAATGTGCACACTCACAGAAAACAACGAAGAATTCAAACACAGCTGCAGTCAAACACACATTTTTCAGATTCATTCAGTGTTTTATTGAGATGTGCAACAAAGGAGTTTATATCGTATTTGTTTTAAGAGATGAAAAGATAAAATAAGAATACATGTCCAAGTGTATTAAATAACTTGATGCGGTTTCTTACTGATTGAGGACAAAAGTGTGAATGAACATCATATAATAATAAAGTAAAAGTGATACCGCAGAGACACCCTGGAAAATCTTCAATTCATGTTTTGATCAGAGCGAAACACTCATCATCATCATCATCATTTTATTGAAAATAAATACTTTCATGTAATAAAACGCATTTCCACAGTCTCACTGTCTGTGTTACACCGTAACAAGTTGGGATTTCTCAAAGGTAATGATTTTTGAAGAGTGTCTCTGCAAATGCAGAGAGTAAATGTGACCTGTTGAGTGTCTTCAATTGAGATGAATGAACCTTATGTAGGGATTACATCTTAATTCAACACTCTGACCCTTAACAAGTAAATGTTGCTTACTGGATTGTCAGATGTTATAACTTATAAGTAATTCAGGCCTTACTCTGTGCATTAAAGGAATGGTTTTACTTGTCAGGTGAATGTGGCTGATATAAGTGTAGAGAGATATTTTTGACTAGAAATTAGAAACTATAAAAAACTTATAAAACAATGTACCTCCAGAGTTTACCCACATGGAACACAAATTGAAGTCTTATATAAGACCATTTGACGTTGGCTTCTGTGCTGAGGTTTTGCCTTTGAACTTTCTGTTGATTTAGTCCGTCATCTTTTATTTTTTTAAATAAAGGATTAAATTTTCACAGCTACATCATCTACGTAATCTTCACACTGCTTACAAGGGCAGTATCTTAAATCTCTTATCTCCTTGATCTTTTTTTTTTTTTTATGTTTTCAATCTGCTTCTTTCATTCCTTCTATCTTTTTGGTGTTTTTATATTGACTTTTCCTCTTTCTTCTTTGATTTCTTGCTGCTTTTAAATTGTTCTAATTTGTTTAATCTGTGAAACTCCTGTATTGTCCTCCTCACATTTCTCTATTTAATTTTTTTGTAAAGCACTTTGTAACCCTGTTTTGAAAAGTGCTATATAAATAAAGTTTATTATAATGCGGTATGTTAGGAGTCTACAAACAGACATCTTCTGTGTTTTTATAGTCAGTTCATTTTGTTTATCGTTGCAGATCCTCGGAGGAGATCATCAGGCAGCAGGGAGCGGAGAGTCACCATCTCCATCTCAGCGTTGCCCCCGATGCCCATGAGCCCCTCCCCCCACGTCGTCCAGAGGCAAGAGAAGAGGGGCATCAATCTGACGACGGTGAGACCACTAACAGTAAACTCAGTCTGGACAAAATAATCTGACTTTCAGGAACATTCAAGTTAAAACATTTTAATTAACCTTTTAATTTTGTAACATGAAGTCTTCTTTTTAATGTCTAATTATTTAAAGCTTTTATCTCTTGGATTTTAAAGTGGAACATAAGAATTCATATTTGACAAAGATCTTTGAAGTTTCCTCTTAAATGTCATGGTTAGCATTTTTCATGTTTTCTTTGTATTTTAATTTGATGTGATAGAAAGGAAACTTTATATACTGTCGAGGTAAAATGCACCTTTTTGTCCCTCCAAGCAGCCAGAGAGACTTTGTAGGGATGCAGCTACTCAGTTAGCACAAGCCCAGGTAAACGTGTCAGTGATGTGTTTCATGTCATCTGTTTAAGACCCTGAACGTAGTTTTATGTTTTGTCTCTTACAGTCCACACATCCCTCCTCACCACCATGCCTCATTGTCTTTTTTTTCACGTGTTTAAGCTCAAAACCCTCCATGTTCATTTCTGTCATTTGTTGTTTTGTTTTTGTTTTTATGTTCTGTATTTTTAGTTTGAATCCACCCGCTCCTCCTCCCCCACCGAATGTTGCCGCTTCTCTCCCTGGAGCAGAAAGGTAGAGTTCCCTCCCTCCCCACCTTCCCCGCCTGACTCCTGTGTGCTCCTTCTGACTCACTTCACACCTCCGTACCTGTTTGACTTCTTCTGATTAACATGTTGAATCTCTTTGTGCATGCATGGTAGCATCCTGATCCGACCAGTCAGGATGACGTTTGACAAGAAGACAGCCCTTTATAAATGTGTCCTGAGTGATGCTTCCTTCATATTCCTCATCAGAGTTGACGTGCAGGGTCGAGCCTAGCGTGCAGTATTTATGGAATGTGGTTGTGTGTGTGTGTGTGTGTGTGTGTGTGTGTGTGTGTGTGTGTGTGTGTGTGTGTGTGTGTGTGTGTGTGTGTGTGTGTGTGTGTGTGTGTGTGTGTGTGTGTGTGTGTGTGTGTGTGTGTGTGGGCTGTCAGAGCCTCACAGCAGCCAGGATTTCACTAATGATAGGGTCCGCTTTTGAGAGCTTGCGTCTGTGATTACCCATGATTCCTCTGTGCTGCGGTTTCCTCGCTGCACCCATCCCCAGAAAGAGCTGACAGCCTCATGTTTCTCTGTTTTCTCACCAAATATATCTCCATGCCCGCTGCGAAAAAAAAGAAAAAAAAAAAAAAAAAGCCCCGCGGACAAACACCAAACACTCCTCCCGCCTCTCCTTTTTTTTTTTTTACTGTCAGCTCATCTCTCGTGTCTCTCATCCTAACTCTACAACTTGCCTCCCAGTCCGCCCAAACAAATCAGCTGCTCTCCCTTTTTTGATTTCTTCTTTTCCTCCACCAGTTGGGAGAAGTTTCCCAGGAAACCAGTTTCTTTTGTGGCCCGGGGGGTTTTGTGTGTGGGACTCATTGGTCTGCTGGGGAACAGAGAGGACAAAAGCTCTGGTTTTTAAATGGGGGGGTGGGTGGGTGGGAGGTGGGAAGCAGTTCAGCCTGAGAATCCTTCCCGGTTTCACATGTGTCTCTCTGTAGGAATCTCAAGGTAAGAGACTCAAAAATTCATTAAACACGGAGCTGTTGGAGACAGGGGGAGCTGCTGTTTTTAAAGTCTGAGGCGTCCGGTGGAAGTAAAAGGAGCCGTGTAAGGATTCAGAGAGGAGGAGAACTGAGCTCTGATTGATTCAGAAGCTGCCGTTCGTTCGGACGCAGGAATGCTGCCGTGAAGTATTTCCTCTCAAATATTTCCGTTGGACTCGTTATTATGCAGGAGAGTCACTTTGAGTGCCACGGGTACTTGGAAGCATGAGGGGGAGAGTTTCCCAAACCGGCGTGCAGTGACTGGAAATGACTGTTTACAGCGTGTGTCACATTTCTGTGCTGTGCAGAGGTGGTTGAATGAAGCAGGGTTAGTATTTATGTTGACATGTGCCGTGTAGTGTAGACCAAACTTCTTATTACCAGGCTTGGAAACAAACTCAGGTTCAGAAATAGAAACTTTTTATTCCATCTGACATTACTTCCTGCTTTTACAAGCCTTCATTTTTTGTGCATGAGTAGATTCTCCCAGTGTTTTTTTCTCTAAAGCATGCTCTTTATTTCAACCTCTTTGTTGGATACTCAGCTCCCGGGAAGTGGATGTGTATTGATTTGCCTCTTGCTCTGGCAGTAAGAAGTCTTTGCTGCCCTTTAATAAGTCTCTAATCTCTACACTCAGATAAACACTTTGACAATACCAGTGTAATCCCCTGCCTTAAATCCTCCACTTCCTCGAGCTTGAGTTTGATCATTTCTAACTCTTGACGCACCATTTTTTTCTCCCCATGTAATGCCGGCTAACCTTAACCACCCTAACCATGCAAATATCCATCTGTTGCAGGCTGCGCCCCCTGACCCCGACACTGACGGGGTGGCTCTAGGTCACCGGTCTAAGTTCCCCATCCCTAACATCCCCTCCACCCTGGACAAGCAGACTAACTGGTCTAAAGCGCTGCCACTGCCCACCCCCGAGGAGAGAATGAAAAGCAGCTCACAAGTCATCAACTCATGCGTCATCCCCATTAATGTGACCGGTAATTAAAAACATCATGTTTTAAGTCTTAATTCTGTTGGTTAGTCACAGGGCGTTTAGAAGAGGAGAGAGTGTCACTCTGTTAACTCAGCTAACAGGAAAAGTTTGACATCATGGGAAATATTTATTTTATGGCTCAAAAATAATTAAGAAATTATGTCTCTCAGCTTAGCTTAGCTTAGCTTAGTGACAAAATAGCTAGCCTAGCTCATTCCAAAAGGTAAAAACTGAAGCCCTGAAGAGCAGCACTCCCCTGGCAGCCCTGCAGTGTTCTGAAGGCTTTCTGAGAGCTGGCCAATCAGAAGAAAGTAAGCATGTGGGGAGTGGAGCCTTAAAGAGACAGCAGCTAAAATGAACCGTTTCAGGCAGAGGCTGAAATGACTTTTTGTTTAGATGACGCCAGTATGACATAAATAAGGAGTTTTGTTTAGCTGCTCTATAGGTTTCACAGATTGAAAACATGAAAAGTGAACATGAGGATAACGAGGGATCTTTAAAGGCTTAATATGTGATTTTTCACACTTAAATATAATATAAATCAAGTATATCCTCTGAAAATAACTCTGTGAGTCATGACTGTCTACAATGGGTGTAACACTCGAGTCCCACTGTCTGTGATGTTTTCAGAGTCCTATCTTCACTTTGTTTACATCGCCAGGACAGCCGGCTGACTCCTCCCCTCATGTATAAAAGTTGTTTAATTGATGGACTAGAGAAAAGAAGAATAACATACTGTACTCACTGCTTAACTGTGTTTCTAGATCACGCTCATTTCAGGTAAATTTACATGCAGTGTGAAGATACGAGCATAATAAAGATCGCTAGCATTAGCATGCTAACACAACAATGCAGCGCAAGTTGTTTTGGTTTCATGCTGGTGCTCAAGGGCGACATCTGCTGGATCAAAAAATCGCATATAAAGCCTTTAAGATGCCAGGGAACTAAAGCTGTTCCCTATGAACCACCTCTTTGTGACTTTTTCATCAAATTAGTTTAAACATTTTAGTCAGATGTATATTGTTTAACACCCGACACAGCCAGGTTAGCTGTTTAGCCCTGTTTCCAGTCTTAATGCTAAGCTAAGCTAAATGAAGCCATATATTATTCAGTGAAAAAGCTTTGAGAATCTATTTTCACAGATTTTAAGCTATTCTGTAAAGACTTACTGCTGTTGAAACGAGTCAAAATGTGTCTTTAAATTGGACACACTGGTGTCTTTATTAAAAAATAGTATTTGTGAGAAAATGTGAAACTCTTGCAGTTAATTATAGACGTTCATAACCATCAAAGGCTTCAATGTTGCCAAAGGGAATCACCCTCAATATGCAAGTCATTCATTGTGCCCTGTTAACTTTCTTTTTCATGCTTCAGCGCTTTGTGCATGTGATCCTGAGACGAGGCGATGCGACTCGAATGCTAATTACTTCTTGTCCAAACTGTTGAAAAGGCCGACATGATGTTATTTACTCCTCCTGCCTGACTCTTAAAGGAGGAGTTTTACGCCAAACACCGGCTGAGTCTGAGACAGTTTCAGGGGGGAAAAATGTACATTTGTAAGCAAAGTCCAGGGATTGCTATGGTGCTGAAAGGACCTGATCTGCTCTCACATGATAGTCATTATGTATCGAGAGGGGAGGGAGGGACAGGAAAGCAAGCAGGAAACAAACAAAACAGAGGAGGAAATGAGGATTTTTATTTGGTTTTTAAACCATTAGCATGCCCACTTTGTTTGTTTTTTTGCAGGTCTTAATAATATGAACCTTTTTAAATTTGAGTCTTTCATAATCTGACAGCTTAGATGTTCAAACTCCAGTATTAACTCTTTTTAATCCCAGTTTGTATAACTCTCTGTCCTCCCCTCACTGGGATTTCCTTTTTCAAATATCTGGTGTAGTACAGCTGTGTGTTTTTTGGTATGAGACAGTGTGAGAGTTGAAGAAGGATTTTGCTGCCGTTTCCCTCTAAAACAAAGATCCCTCACATGTCCCCCTCTCTCTCTGTGTTTCAGGAGTTGGCTTTGACAGAGACGCTAGTGTGCGCTGCTCACTCGTCCACTCGCAGTCGGTGCTGCAGAGGAGAAGGAAGCTGAGGAGACGGAGGACGGTCGCTGGAGTTCCCAGACAGGTGCAGCAAGACTTAGGTATGTAACTTATCCTCAACTATGACTTTCAAGGTTTAGTGCTAAATCCCTTTTTATGGTGATTCATTTTTTTGTGCAGTAATGGGACACAAGTGAGTGAATTGTGTGTTCAAAACTCACTCATCAGTATACTACAGAAGGGAACATGTCAACAGGAATATATAAAAGACATCACTGATGAAAGGAGGAATATTTTTAGTGTAAGTTTGTTCTGCTTTAAAGATATTTTGGGGCATTTCATGCTTTTATTAGCCCGATGAGAGTAGCAAGATGATAGGAACTCAGAGGAGAGAGAAAGAGGGAATGAAATGAAGAATGATGGACCAGTGCAAAGATTCATGAACAGCACCTTGATACTCCTCAGAGCTGCACAGAAGTTTGGTTAAACTAGTTGCTGATCAGAAAAAACAGCTAGTTTTATATTTTAATCATCACTTTTATCGTCCAGCAGGCAGAGATGAAGGCGTCCACTTCTTTAATGTAATGATTTGGCTGCTGTTCTTCGTGGCCAGCCTTGGCCTTGGGGAGCTTTGAATTAATGTCAGAGAGTAAAAAAAAAAAAAAAAGGACAGTTAAAGGAGTTAAAATCAAATGTCCAGGACCTGTATCTGTCAGGGGAGTGTAAGAAATCAAATGAAGTGATTGGATGGCTTACAGGCACGTTGACCCACACACCTTCCTACCTGCATGCACCGCACATGAACAGAGTCATCCAGCAGTGAGATCTGATGGATTGCAATGGGATGAAATGTGATGCACCTTATTGTCCCCATTATTGTACAGCTGTATAAAAAATACCAGTTTATCCATGTTAACAGAGAAGAACGTGCCAATGATAGACACAAACAACATTTATTTCACATTAATCATACTTCACAAATTGGTTAGTGCTGACAACAATTCAAATCTCTTCTTAGCTCATTGTTGTGGACTCGCTCTTCACCTGTACGGAGGAGGCATTGTACATTAACTCGTTTGAGTTGTAATCCATTTGAAACTTTAAAAATCTTGCTTCCCGTCCCTGGTTTGTCAAAAGTAGAAAGACGGAACAAGAGGCAAACTTGTTTCTGAGTTTACGGCCCTCATGTTTTCTTTTCTCCTCTCAGACTCTGATGACTCTCCTGGTTCCAGAGAGCGCACGGTGATTGTCCACACAAGTGCCGACATCACTCCCTCCAACGAGGAGCTGTCCAGTCATCTCAGCACCAGAGACTCCGGCTGTCAGACCGAAGACTTCCTGATCTCTGGAGCGCCGTCTCGCAGGAGGATCAGGGCCCAGCGAGGACAGGGAGTGTCTCTGTCCCTGTCTCACTCTGCAGGAAACATCTCCTGCCTGCCCGACAGCACCGACGCCATGTTCACCACCTCTCTGGGCGCCCACCTGCGCTCCAGGAGTCTACCGAGAGACGGGAACAGAGTTATAAACAACGGGCATCGAGACACTGATGATGATGAGGAGCTCTCTCCGTTTGACGCTGAGGACTTCCTGCCGGGATGCAGCGAGCTGATTCTCAAAGATGAAGAGGAGAGTACGGACGACCAGGCCGTGTCTGAACACACGTTGGGTCTGAAGTACAAGCAGCTGTCGGAGAGTCCGGAGCGCAGCTGGATGGAGAGGACCCGGTCCCAGTTGCCCAGGAAGGCCGACATGGGCAGCTGCGAGATCTCCTCCAGCTCGGACACCTTCAGCAGCCCCGTTCACTCCGTGTCCGCCGCCGGGGTGATGCTGGGAGGACCGATGGACCACAAGGACGACCACCAGTCCTCAAGCGGGAACTGGAGTGGCAGCAGCTCCACCTGCCCGTCACAGACCTCAGAGACGATCCCCCCCGCTGCCTCCCCGCCTTTAACAGGCTCCTCCCACTGTGACTCCGAGCTCTCACTTAACACCGCCATCCACGGCCACGACGACCACACCGGCTTCATGCTGGACCACCACTACCCGGGTCTGCGGACTCACCGGGTCGGCTCCTTCTCCTCAACAGCTATGGACATCTTAGAGGAAGCAGGGGGGAGCGCCACGCCCGTCGAGGGGGAGTGGAGTTACTCGGAGGCACCGCACCCGCCGGGCTTCAGCCCCGAGCCGAGCAGGGAGGCGGAGAGCAGCCTGGGATGTCCGAGCTACACCAGCATGGCCACCTGCGAGAGCAGCTTCTCGGACAAGCCGCCATCGGAGAAGGCGGACACCGTGTCGCACTACTCGGTCGACACCGAGGGCTACTTTACCTCCATGCACTTTGACTGCGGCCTGAAAGGCAGCAGAAGCTTCACGTACAACTATGCAGCCCCCGCCTCCGACTGCAGCCTGTCGGACATGACTCTGAGCAGACGCTGCCTCTCTCTGCGCAGACCGAAGGTGAAGCCGTGTCCGCCCAAGAGGAGCTCGTCCTTGAGGAAAATATGCAGTGAGGGGAACATCCCCGTCAAGAAAGAACCAAAGATTTCATGCGGGCAGCAGCCTCCTCCGTCGTCGAGGGAGAGGAACCTGCAGCTGCTTCTGTCTGGCTCTCCTGGTCGTCTAGGAAACTCGTCCCTTGTCAGAGAGCCGCTCGTGATCTGGGGGGTCGAGGACTCGTCGGATCTTCCAGACTTAGGCGTGTTCAGCTCCACAGATGCACATTCCTTCAAAGATGAAGGGGTGGTGCAGTCGGACTATGCAGATCTGTGGCTTCTGAATGATTTGAAATCCAGCGATCCGTACAGATCTTTATCTAACTCCAGCACGGCGACGGGCACGACCGTCATCGAGTGCATCAAGTCGCAGGAGAGCTCCGGGTCTCAGACGTCCCAGTCCGGTTCGCGGGCCACCACCCCGTCACTCCCGTCGGCGGAGGGCGACTTCAAGCTGACGTCTCCGGAGAAGCTGGCGGGCCTGGCCAGCCCGTCCAGCGGGTACTCGAGTCAGTCGGAGACCCCGACCTCCTCGTTCCCCTCCGCTTTCTTCCCCGGGCCGCTCTCGCCGTCCAGCGGGAAGAGGAAGCCCAAAGTCCCCGAGAGGAAGTCGTCTCTGTCCACCCTGTCGCTGCAGTCGAAGGCCTCCAAAAGAGACCTGGAGCTCCCCGTAATCCCCCCCTCCCACCTCGATTTAAGTGCCCTTCAAAGTGTAGGAAACCATCAGGTTCAAATCCTTCACCAACACAAACAAAGAGCTGACAAACCTGCGGCACCGCAGATCTCTGAGGTGTACAACACTCTCTCTATGTCCATCACACCCTCAGTGCTGAACTCAGTGCAGCTCCGATCCATCAACAGGGAGCATGAAGGAGGACTCGAGGACAAAACCAGACTCAAATGTCCTACCCTTAACTCACTTTCATGTAGCAAACCCGCAGAGCCCAAGAGTCCTCTGCTAAACCATCTCCATCACACACCATCCAAGGGCTCATGGGAATCTGTGTTTACCTCAAATGAAGAGCTCGTAAATGGAGCAGCAGGCTGTCAGAGCGAGACGAGGAAGGACAGCGAGGCTCCATTAGAAAGTCAGACAGCACTCGAGCCCCCGGCTGACGAGAGGACCAGCGCTCATGAAGGAGAGACGAGCAGAGAGCCTGAAGAAATGCTACTTAACATGTTGCAAAGGACTGAAGAAGAAGAAGAAGAAGAAGAAGAAGAAGAAGAAGAAGAACAAGAAGAACAAGAAGAAGAAGAAGAAGTGTGTCAGATAAACCCAGGTCTTGCTCTTCCTGTGCATCACAGTTTAAATAACAGTCTGGATAAAGTGCCTGAGATTGACGGCCAATCAGAGACACCGCAGGAGAGCTCGATCATTGATGACAGCATCAGCACGGAGCTGGATTTTGAGTCCTCGGGTGTTTCAGCAGACGGTGTCTCACAGGACGAGAGGGAGGAGTCTGCTGCAGAGCCAGATGAACACAGTAAAGGTAGGGTGTCACAACTTTCAGAACACTCACCTTCTCTTTTTGGGTTTCACTCACTACCTCTTTCTCTCAGCAACTGGAAGTAAATCCTCTTTTTTTACCTTCTTGCTTAAAATGGCCTTTTCCTCATGATATGCTGCCATTGACCCATAAACGTTTTTTTTGTATAACTTACTTGTCCTTCATCCTCAAACAGAGTCATTTCTATTTTCTGATCCTCACCACATCACAGTTATTGGTCTCCGGAAACTCACTTGTTAAAAATATTTGTGACCCCTAAATGGTTAATGGACCCACGTTAATGTAATCTGATTTGTGTGAACAGACTCTTCACTCAGTGATAACGCGGCGTCTCCTCCGAGCGATGAGTCCAGACCAGAGGACGACAGCGTGTTTCTGTCACCCACCAAAACCAGGACCACAGAGGATCTGTTTGCTATGATTCACAGGTAAACATCTTTAACCTTTTTTTCATTTATGTGTGTGTACATGACTAGTAGGCTAAAACCTTTTTGGAGTTTCTCAGTAAATGGACTTGAACTTGTAAAGCGCTTCTCGAGTCTTCTTCTGGCTTTCACACTGCATGTGTCACCTACACATTCACACACAATTTGGAGCAATTTAGGGTTAAGTGTCTTACTCAAGCACACATCAGACATGTGGCTCCAGGAGCCGGGGATCAAACCCTCAACCTTCTGGTTGAGAGAAGACTGACTATACCGCTGAGCCACAGCCGCCCCAGATTTCTTCCACATAAAAATTGTGTGCCAGATCAAAGTACCTCCATCAAAAGTGATCATCTTTGGGGCGCTTGTGGCACAGTGGTGCAGTGGTTAGTGCGCGCCCCATGTATGGAGGCTGTGGTCTAGACAAATGTTTTCCTTACATATCCGCCGCCAGCACCGAGGGGCCTCGCGGCCTCGGGTGCGGGGATCTCAAAACCGGTAATGATCCTTCCTGGGCGGACGGCCCAGGTTCAAATCCAGCCTTGGCTCCTTTCCCGCATGTCATTCCTTACTCTCTCTCTCTCCCCCTGATTTATGACTCTATCCACTGTCCTATCTCTCCATTAAAGGCACAAAAAGTTCAAAAATAAAAATCTTAAATTTTAAAAAAAAAAAGTGATCATCTTTGTCAATGATGGACTACGATTGTTATTCCAATAATCAAAGTTTCAAACAGAGATAGATTCTTCCTTGTCAGGTTACTTTTTATAACTAGAAACACTCTTTAAATTGCCATATTTTAAAGCTGCCACACTCAATTGGAAAGAACTGTAATTTTATGGCAGGAGTTGATGGTCAACCATTGCTTTTATCCGGGGTTTGTCTTATATGGTGCAACTCAGATATGGTGTTGATTTCAATCTCACTGTTTTAACTGTTAAAGACAACTCCTGTGTTTAATTAAAATGACATAAAGTACAGTTAATGTGATGGGGGGAGGGGGTGCCCAGGTTTTAAAGATACCATATTCACCTGTGACTCTTTCCCTTTATGTTCAGGTCCAAAAGGAAAGTGTTGGGCAGAAAGGACTCCAGTGAGTTAGGAGTGCGAAGTCGTCTCTGTGCAGCATCAGGGACGACACCGGCCAGCAGCACAGTGAGCTCCCCGGTCTCCTTACAGTCCCCCTCTGTCGCTCTGACCCCCCCAGGCTCGCAGAGAGCCACCGGCTCCATCTACAGGAACGTGAAGAAGTCCAGCACCTCCAACGAGGAGTTCAAACTGCTGCTGCTCAAGAAGGGCAGCCGCTCTGACTCAAGTTACCGCATGTCAGCTACAGAGATCCTAAGAAGCCCCATCACTCCCAAAGGTCCTGCAGATTCCCCCGCAGAGTCACAAAGACAGACTGAAGACCCCACCTCCCCCCTTCAACAACAACAGCAGCATCCATCAGGATCTGATCAGGTCTGCAGCCCGTACCCCAAAGCCAACGCTGAGAGCTACTCCCCGAAGTCGTTCCTCTCATCTGCAGCTTCCAGGCAGGGTCGCTCCCGGATCCCCCCGCCCGCCAACAGCAGCCGCTACGGCATGAGAGGCCGAGTGTTCTCAGCGCCCATGCAGGCGATCTCCGAGGGCGAGACAGAGAACTCAGATGGAAGTCCTCACGACGACCGCTCATCACAGGGCTCTACGTAGAAAACAAGAGAGAAGCAGCAGTATGAAAAGGTTTTAATAGTGCAGATAAAACAAATGGACCATTTTTAATATATATGAGATTTGTGTATCGGGACAGAAATAGATTTTAAGTATTTGGAGTCATAGGAGTATTTTGAAAAGAATAAATCTGTAAAATAATATATATAGTAAATAAATAAATAATAATTTTATACTGAAAGATAAACTGGGATAATTTTAATGATTTCCATTATTTCTGAATTGAATTTTCATAAATATTTTTTACAAATATGTATTTTTTGATGCATCTAGTAGTTGACATCAGAGGTTAGGAGCGCTGCGTGGGTCCTCATTCAAGCCGAACAAAAAACAGATGCTCTTTGGGGAGGGTGGAATAATACGATGAAAAAATAGGCTCGATGTGTTCGCCTACTTTACTCTTCTCAGAGGATTCATCATCAGACTCAGGAGTCCATTAGAAAACATATAAAAAGCAAGCAAAATAAAAACACAGGGTAAAAAGAGAGACAGACAAAACATCACCAATATTATAAAAGACAACCGTACCAGTGTGGCCACAAGGCTGACTGGTATCACACAGAACTATGACTGGAATGTTTTTTCACTCAAGTGATAAACACATCAAGCTTATTTCTTTCAGCATATCGTACTAAATTGGGTTGTTAAAATAGTTTTTCATATTGTTTTTATTTTAGTTCCCTAACCTTTTCTTTAAAGTCTAGAGTCTACATTTTTCCCGATTGTTTTGCTTGTCATTGAATAGCACTGTCGTAAATCAACTGGCTCTGAGTAGATCTCTGCTCGAGGAGGTTTTTTATCCACACAATTTATGAAATGGAATTATAAATTATAGAAGTTTTAAATATTAAAATATATAGAAAAAAAACTATATAAACATGAAATAAGTAAATATATATATATGTTTTACAAATATCTGAGACAAATATCAGCTGAAATAAATGAAGACATAAATGTGAAAATGAATGAAAACACCAACGATAACTTCATATTTTAGGATTTGTCTTTATTTCCTGTTTATTTTACAGTTTTATTCTTATTAGAGTGCTCCTGGTACTCCATACAGAGGTAGTTATTGTAGCTGACTTTTTCTAACTTTGAATTTTTTGTGGATACTAAGAATGTTTTTTACCTGTGTTCAAACGAGTTTTATACACACAAATATGTTCCATCACTTTTATACGGCATGTCGACTTAGCATTGAAAAAAACAGGGAACAAAGTTATGTAGCTCACATCCTGTGTCAGAATATCCCAGATGAGTTGAAGTGATAGAAACAAACCGGTTTACATGGATCTGAAGAGGTCTTGTTTAAACCCTCAAAATCTTTTAAATGTCAAATCCTAAACGGTCTAATGTCCGATTTCTCTTCAGATATTTTTAAAACCTCTATATTTTTCATCAGTGGCCTGTTTAAAAAAAAGGCAAACATGTTAGATGATCTGTCTGTATTCTGTGAATACCTATGCAACAAGACAATATTTACATTTCTTAAAGCCAGATTATAATGAGAACTCCCATCAGGACTCACACGGTGTGAGAAACTAATGTGTAGACTTTTGTATATTTTACCTGGTCCTTTCTAAAAGCATATTATAATCACAGATTATTACAACATGTTTACAAATTCTCATGCAATAAAGACAAATAATTAGAGGTGAAATAACTAACTTGACAATCTTGGGAGAAGAAAGGCGAGGAGGTGTTTAACAGGGGAGATGAAAAAAGTGTTTGTTTTTTTTAAAGTTGGAGGTTGTGAAAAAGGGGAGATGTAAAAGAACAAGGAGGTCATGTGTTTTTTAAAAGACTTGATAATTAGAGCCCGACTGATGTTTCAGCTAATATGTGACTTTCACAGGTATATTGGTATATGGGTTTATTAATAGGTTCAATTTAAGAAGAAAACAAGGAGCTGATTTGGAAAAAAGTGTCATTGTGTAGTTTGTCCAGCAGAGGGTGCTAAGACTCCATGGTTTACGATCCTTGTTGCATTGTCTGCAGAACAGGCAGCAAAGCAGCCGAACAGTAAATAGCATGATCAGATTGATGTGAAATCAGAGGGCAGTGAACACCAGTGGGTAGTGAACACCTGTAAGGTCTTTTTTCATGTAAGCTCATAAGTTGATGATATTTACAGTAATCTGTGAAGTCACCGCCTCTGAAATCAGTGTCGACCTAAGGAAATCCACTATGGGTCGGGCTCTAGTTATATCTGTCATTTCTGGTTTGCTGACTTTGGTGTGTTTATGAATTGTTGAAAAAAGGCAACAGGAAAGTGTTCTGGGGATTTTATATGCCTTATGTTTACTCTGCGCAAAAAAAAAAGGATAAGTGACGATAAGTGAAGAAGCAGCCGCGGCAAAAAGTTTGGTGTTTTGTGAGATTTTTCTAATTTGTTCGAGTTGTAGGAATACATTTAGAGGCAGGTGATGAAAATTAGAAATTCTGGGTTTTAAGGATGTAACATTTGGGCTTTTTCTTTTGTACCGAAGGCTCAACTTTTCTGCTCCCCTTCACAAAGGAAAAGAAAACTGCCACGGTTTATGTTTTCTTTGTTACACAATCTGAAAATCTATTTATTTTTATAACTAACACAGAAGATCTCTACGTGCTCCCTTACACCTTTTAGATAACCTACAACTAAAACACAAGTATGCAATGAATTGCTGGTAGTATTAATAATAACTATAACATATTTTATTCAGATTCTTATTTTTGTTCATAAGAGACATTTTTAAATCGCATCCCCCCACACACACACACACACACAAAACACAATCACACAAACACACACACACACAGTAACAGTATACATGTTTTTTTTTAATTGCAGTGATAGAAGTTAACCATTATGAGTCTTTGCAGCCATATTTTCTTGTAGGCACACTGTAGATATGGACCTAGTTTTGGCCTTAACGAGACTCCGTACTATCGTCACATAACAGGGTACTCAATCGGTTTGTTTCTTTTGTCTGTGAACCTTCATTCCAACCTTTTTTCTTTTCGATTCTTTTTGTTTTTTTGCACTGATGAAGTGATGTTTGTGAAGTTTCACGAGTCTCTTGCTGTACCTGGAGATATTTATAAACATTTTAAACCCAAGCTGTCTGACTTTTCCCCCACACTCCGAGGAACGCTGTACGAGCCCACTAGATGCTTCTGCCAAAGGCTAAAACAAACACATGTGTTAGTGGCTGTTTTTTCTCTCCCCGTTTACTTGACTGACATGTTCTTGAAAACGTCAAACCCGACACTATAAAAGATTTCATGTGTGGTACGAGATGCATGTCACTCCGCCTCTGTGTACTGTAGGTGTCCACTTTGTAATTTTTTTTGTACAAACTTGTAAATACGATAACTTTTTGTCGAATTGTTTCTTATGTATAAAACAAAAAAGTTTACATTAATTTCAAACCTTTGTATATTTTTGAGCTGTGGAACACTCTGTCTTGTATTTATTTTTTAGTAAGCATTGTGGAGATCCCATAGTAAATCCTATCAAAGCTAGCACAACAGGCTGCTTAGCAACTGTGTATAAAAAGACAAATAAATGTGACTGCTTTGAAAATTACTCTTTGGCTCGGACTTCATGTTCTTTTTTCTTTTTCTTTTTTTCAAGTGTTACAGTCTTATTTTTGTCTTCATTCAACTGTAAAATAAGCACATGATGACACCACAGAATGACTTCACATAAAAACAGACATGGCTGCTGCGTCACTGCTGTAAAGTAACATAACACATGTTCTGTAATGTTCATTTTTAAGGAACTGTATCTTCCAATGCCAATGAAGCAGCAGGAGCAATTTGGGGTTAAGTGTCTTCAAGGACATATCGTACATGTTGCTGCAGGAACGGAGGATTGAATCCTCGACCTTCCGATTGAGAGATGACAACTCTACCACTGAGCCACAGCCACCCTGTAACCCTGTCTTCAATAAACAAGCTGACTGAAATACACACAGTTTATTTCACTGGACATTATTTAGTGATTTAAACTAGTAATTCTTACTAAGTACGATAAGTTATTCTATTAACTTCCACTCAAATATAAGTGAACTACACTTAGAAGGTACAACAAATGTAATATCTTTAACTTTACTGAGGTCAAAAAGTTTAGTTTACTTGGTTTTTTAAGGCAATCGGTCTGCATGATTTTGAGGGCACAAAAGAGCGCCCAAGCAGTTTTTTGGGTTTAGCGCTTGAGGAAAACTCTGCAATGCTCTGCAAGTGAACTGAAACCTCTCCAGCATCCAAACCCTAATCCATACTGTGCTGTGGTCCAACTGGGACTTGATCAGGTGACCCTCCAGTTCCCAGCCTTGGATAGTCACTTTCCACTATCTGAGTTCATCCTCAAACAGAGAAGGTTTCTGACATATAGAATACATGATCAGTATGACTTGTTGTCTTCCTATATGACTGAAATGTCCTGTATAGGACAGATAAGATGGCGCCTTATCCTTAAACAAATGGACACAATGAAAGAATGTCTGCTTTGTTGCACATCAGAGTAGAATAACAAAAAGGACAGTATTACATTTAGTTGATCTCAAAAGGTGTTGAGGAAGAGTCATGATGTCTAAAGCTCTAAAATAAACTTCATGAATCATCTATATCAGGCTTATTCAACTGGCGGTCCAGGGGCCAGTCGGATGACATCAGAGTGACCGCAGATCAGTTCTATTTACAATTTAAAAAAATAATATTTATAAAGAGGGGGGAAAACTTGTGAATGACTGTCATTGTTGTCACAATAAAGTGTTATAAACAGAAGAGCGCTCCCATTTAATAGAACATCTTTGGTCCTGTGTTGCAGCCTATCACAAGCATGTGTTGTTGATGGGGGGTGGGGTGGGGTGGGGTGGGGGGGGGGGGGGGGGGGGGGACAACGCTTTGAGCACTGTACTGCTGTGGTGGGCTTGCTCGTCTGACCCACAGGTCATTAGCTTTCTGAAAATTTGCCCCCCTGAACAATATAGTTGAATAGCCTTGATCTATATTGTTTGCGTTGAAATATCAAATGCATTGTAAACAACCAAAGACAAACTTGTAGATCATTTTTTCAGTTTTTAGACAAGACTGGTTAAAGTGTGAAAAATAAGCATGAAAGAGGTTTTTGGACACATTACTGCTGAAAACAAACACTGGAGTAACCTTCTGTTCAGCCCTGAGCAAAATGTCTTCTGGATAAATTTATGCAAATTAAAAATGCATTTAAATTAACCCTCATTGTCCCTTTCCCGTCTAGAGAGACACAGCTGAGTCCTGGTTCCTCTTTACATATAACATGGACTGGAGGTGTAGCTGCATGTGTGAACATTACAACATTGTCATGGCTCAGCTCCAGCTGCACAGTCAGACTGAGTTTTCTCTGCAGCTCTGTTTCATGTCAAACAGGCCTGTGACGGACAAAAACGCCTTGTTCTCAGTGTGTGAATGTCAACTGAGCTAAAAGGTAAACAAAGACGTGGACTGTTTGGCACCCATCAAAGGGCACCCTGACCATGAACTCTGACCCTGGATCACACTGCTGAGAGGACGGTCCGACATGAGGAGGTCGGTGGAGCAGAAATCTAGTGTTTTTGTTCTCATGAGAAGTTTGTGTGTAAGGTCTGAAACACCTTCTCCATATAAGAGAGTACTATATTTATACCCAAGGAGAATTAAAAAAGCTGAGGCAGCTTTGATAAAACACAATTTCAAATGGATTTCACACAAAAATAACTGTATATACTGAATGTAAATATAACACATATATATTAAAGTACTGTGGCAGTTATACAAAAAGGCAGAGTTGTTTGTGCAGAAATGAATCGGTCCTGTTCAGTGTGTGCAGGTTTGGAATGTGATGTGTGGATGAGTTGTAGAACCTGATTGAAACAAGAAAAAACCTCTTGTATCTTTCTTTTGAGCAGCAGGTGTAATGCTCCCGACCTTTGTCTCTTGTCATTTTTTGCTGATTCTTTTGTCTTCTCAGCGGCTAACAACTCATTTATACACCGTGAATGTGACCAGATGAGAAGCTTTTAGCTTTTTTGTTCTACCTCAACACTATGAATGGTGATTATCTAATCACTTGATTATCTCTTTAATTCTCAATTCACATGCATTTCTATTATAACATTATTTAACTCACATGGATTTTTATTGCTTAGTTTTTCAATTTAAATACATTTTAATCACTTAAAGGAAGAATGTGCTACATTTATATCCTCTGTAAATGTCTCTCTTGAGTCATGACTGTCTACGATGAGTGAGACGCGTGAGCTGTACTGTTGTCAGCGTCGTGTTTACATCATGTTTACATGGATGGGACGTACATATAAAGTTATTTTAGTCAAGGACTAGAGAAAATAAGTTTTACATACTCACTGCTTATTTAAACATCACGTAAGTGTCTTTAGATCACGGTCATTCCTTGTCAATGTATGTGCAATATGAAGCTACAAGCTAAAGTGTGCTAACATTAGCCTGCTAATACAACAATGCAGGTGATTGCAGCTCAAGTCGGGGACAATTTTGTCCGCCACTTGCGCTTAATGGTGCTTAATTATGGTGTGTTCCAGTTTATAATTACTTTGTGTGAATGTGAGTGGAGAGGTGTGTCGCTGGAGGAGAGCGGAGGATTCAGTGTGGCGCAGGTGCAGCCGAACAGCAGTTTGTTTGTTTTGGTTTCATGCTGGAGCTCAAGGGCAACATCTACTGGATCAAAAAGTTGCATAATCTTCCTTTAAAGAGGACATATTATCCCTCTTCTTCTTCTTTTCAAACAGTCCCCTGTGGTCTAAATGAAACATCTGTGCTGTGCTTTGGTCAAAATATAACATGAATCATGCACCAGAGGAGGTTTGTGACCCTGTTTTAACCAGCTCTCTCAGAATGCTCCGTTTTGGTGTGTGTGTCTCTTTAAATGTAATGACCCCCCAGAGTTTTCCTGGTAGAAATCACTCCTCTGTAGAGAAAATAAAAATGGCGGACCTGCTCAAAAGTTTTGTTCTAGGCTGGAGGTGGAGACAATGGGTGGAGATATCAGGGGAGGGGAGTGGATTTTTGTTTTTACCAGAATCCCACTGTGACATCACAAGGAGGTGACGTTGAAACAGGGTGTTTTTCTCTGTGTTGTAAGACTGAAGCAGACCACAAACAAAGGACTGGATGAGTTTATTTCACATTCTATGAGGTTTCCCAAATATAAGTTCAAAAACACTGTAAAAGTCGATTTTTCATAATATGGCCCCTTTAATGTTTCATTTCACATGCATTTTTATTTTCAATATTTTCATTTTATTTTTATTCACATACTTTTCATCACTGTTTGTTGTAAATAAATCTCCATTTCTTCTTTTACTGTAATTTCTTCAGTGTGAAAAATACAAATGCTGTATACCTTTATATAGTATCGTTGAACTTTTAGTGATAAGTGGAGAGGGGCTGCTGGGGTTTAAGGAAAGTTTACATGACCTTATAAAAGTTTTGCACTTACAGATACGAAAACAACAAACATATTGTTGAAAAAACAATGTGACAATGTGTGTAATGACCTCGGATGGAGAGTAAACAAGAAAGTCCGCTTGATATATACAGTATAACCACAGATAATTGTCCTAAGCTTTGATGTTTGCAGATAACAGAGACTTCTTTCTGTTGGTGTTTGTCTTCAGGGTTTGTGCCATTATTTAACCTCCAGATCTAAACTCAGTGCAGTCAATGATGTTCAGGCCTTTAAAGCACATCTCAGCCCATCATGACATTGATCATTGTGTGATTCTTTTAAAGAAAGGTTAATGAGAGGCCTTCAACAGAAGGACACACAGTTTATCATTCATGCTCAATCCCTGCTGATTTTAACAGACTGTGAAAAAATGACAAGCCTCGTGCAAAGAGGGAGCCACATTTGCCAGCTTGAATATTAACAGTCTATGGTTCAGTCTGACTCTCTCACTCACTTATTTATCAGATTGATTAGATTGATAAATCCCCTGGATAAAGGCCTGCACGCATTTTCTGCTCAAGTTGAAACATGTTTAACTCACAATATGAGACATGTACTGCATCTGGAGCTACTTAGTGATAACTGATTGATCTTGTTGTAAATAGTGATTATTTTCTAAGCCAACACAGTCAGTCATTCCTCATCAAAACCAGAAGCATAACACTTAAAATCTTTTATATGAGCTCAGATTATTTCGTCCAAGATCAGTATCAAAATGTCATTTATTCTTCAACCAATCGGATTTATGGTGTTGTTAAAACGTCAGATGGTACAAAGTTATAACAGAACAAAGAAAGTGATGAAAACAATCATGAAAAAAAGTGTTTCATAGATTTTATGACATTTTCTTTTACCCCTTTTCCACCTTTTAAAACGGTCCCCCGTGGTCTAAATGAAACATCTGTGCCTTGGTCAAAATATAACAAGCACCAGAGGAGGTTTGTGACCCTGTATAAACCAGCTTTCTCAGAATGCTCCGTTTGGTGTGTGTGTCTCTTTAAGTACAAAACAAACAAGTTACTCAAAACAGTGCCTCCTTACTGTGGTTTTCCCAGAAGAACCTGCTTCCTTTTTACAATCAAATGTATAACACATCAAGAGTTAACGCTGTAAAAAAGTTTAAAAAAATTGTTTCTGCAGCTGCAGTTCATCACATTTTCTGACATCTACCCAGCAGCAGCGGGTTGATGCACTAAAAAAATCCCCTATAAAAATAATCAGTCTTCATGCTGATGCTCTTGTCTTCTTCTAGCTCATAAAGAAGCATCGCTATTAGTTTCAGTCTGTTTTATAACCAGCCAAAAACTCCTCACAGAAGCTTTAACAAACTAAACTAAAACTTCCATAATTCAAATGCATGTTGCAAATGACCCCTGTTTTGTATACTCCCTATACAGTCATATTTGTTGTTTTGAATGCAGTCACAATGCATACATAGTGTGGTTAAGTTATGACGATACGTGTGAGGATAGAGGATACAAAAAAACGTTGATAACTCCCATGTGATAAAATAGATAGGACACTCCGTCTTCCGCTCATTTTAATACTATCCCAAACACAAAGAGCAATCAAAGGATCTTCAGATGACTCATTTTCATTTAAGTCAATAAAATAATTGTGTGCACGTTTGCAGAACAAATAAAGAGACTTGCAGGTAACATTAGAGATCGTTAATTATCTGTATTTGTCTTTTTCAATGACTAGAGACACATTTATCCAACATGAGGAACATAATGAACAACTGAAAGGTCAACACGAGACACCTCTATGATATATCTATCCAGATTAAAGGTGGAAAAACTCTTATATTCATTGATCTATATTTGGTGACTAAGTATTGATTGTGGTATTCTAGTCAGAGGTGAATTTGCATGCGTGAGTAATGCTGACTGCAGACAGGGTTGGGGGAGGAACACTGAAGAGGGAACCACACCAAAGACACCACCAGGCCACCAGGGGATATTGTGAGGCTCATTATAGAGCATTGAACACCCTCCCTGCGGAACAATGAGAGGCCCTGGGGCCCCGAGGCAGAGCCCCAGGCTGCCTGGGACTGATATGAAGACCCAAGGGATCCTGCTCAGCCGGGCCTGTCATGACCAGACTTTCATTCGCAGCTGCCAAACTCCATTTTCCTCAGCCTTCGTCATCAGCCTCTCACCAGGATAACATCATCTGTATGTTTGAAATGAAAATATAAAGTATTCTAAAGGCTTCTCAACATTTCATATCATTTTCTTATATATTTTTCAAGAGCTGTGTCCCTTCCGTGGATTAATAACACCTTGTTTATTTTCTGCACAAAATTGTAGGTTTTTGGAGATTGGTCTGGGGTTATGGTTAGATTTACAAAGGATTTTTGATCTTGTTCATGTTCATCTGAGGTTATGGTTCTATTCACATCTTTTTCTTTTCAAAACACGCTTTTCGCTTTAGTCTTCACACGACAAAAGACCTCATTTCAGGTCAGATGGTTATAGAACCATTTTTGGGAAGAAAAGGATGTCCTGAAATACAATTTAAAAACAAAAACAAAATACATTTAAACCCAAATTAATAATTTATGAATAATTAATGTATAATGGGAAACTGTGTATGCATTGTGGGTTTTATTCTAAGCATGTGACAAACATGTGGACACAGTCTGTGTTTAAATTTACTCAAATATCAGAGATAATGATCAAACTCAGATATATTTTAAGTAGGCTATATAATGTTTTTGAGCTCTTGTTATGTTGTTTTTTAACAAATAAACATTAGGAATAAAGTCCCGACCTCTTTGGGGGTTCTCACAACGTAAATCACTAATAACTAAATTGATTAAATTAACTGGTAATGTTGTGATTACTATTTTTATTCTGTTCCAAACTCTTGTTTTTTGGTACATTTCCTGGAGAGCTACTATAATTTCTTAAATGAATTCTTTAACACATTTAAACAAACTGTTGTTGTAAATATTATGAATATATTTATTTATCTGTAATGTGTCGTCCCGGTGCGGAGGGGAAGGGGGGAGGGAGGACCCGCTGACGGAGCTGCGTGCGCAGCTTCAGTCTGGAGTGTCTCCGACGGACCGCAATGAGGAGATAAATAGAAGCTTTATCTATTTATTATAAAGTATTAACGGGGTCTCATTCATTTCTACCTGGGAGCAGCAGCTGGTGAGGGGAGTCGTTTATACGCTCGTCTGCTTTAAAGGTGAGTAAATGTTCGTGTTTGAGGCTAAACTGGAATTTAAAGGGGGAATTAGATTAAAGGGAAGGAGATGGAACAGGGTGAACCAAGGCTTTTTCTAATGTGTGCGTCGCTTACACGTCCAAAATGATGTCTTTTTTTATTATATTAACATCTAGATTAACACAAAATTGCCTAATAAGTGGCATGATATTGATTTTTAACGTTTGAAAACCATTTTTTTCTGATTTCTGAGACGATTTGCGCAGCTAGCTTCTGTCGCGTACTGTCTTTTTTTTTTTTATATATATAAACGTCAGATAAACAGGAAGTGTATAAATAATAAGGACGAGGACCCCCTATCTGTGCCTTATATTAGCTGTCTTTATTTCAGCCCTCCATGTTATACCCATAGGTTATACCGTGTGGAGACGTGTGCGCAGCCTCCATGTCGGCTTGTCGAGGGACCAGACACACATAAGGGACCAGACCAGTCTAAAGGACTGTACCGCTGTGTGTGGGGGAATAAAAATGTCCTCAGTGCTCACGAAACGAGGAATTTAACCCTCACATGAACCCAGCAGGGTCACACAGGGCTTGTGCATTTGCTATTGGTGGCCTTTCACATGTTGTAATGACAGAACCGGAATACTTCTATATACTTTCAACAGATACTTCTACATAAGACACTACTACTACTTTAATCACCAAAATTATCAGTTATTATTTATCAGTAAATATTGGAAAAAGCATACTATTAGGCCAGTGTGTGTGTGTGTGTGTGTGTGTGTGTGTGTGTGTGTGTGTGTGTGTGTGTGTGTTTACCAACACCACCTCTGTCCTGTTGATCACACAACATCGAGTCCTCATTCAACACCAAGTTAACCTTTTTATTACCAGATGTATACTTTACCAAGTCTAACCCTGAAGAGATATAGGGTTGTGGTGTTATTCTGGATAACACTTTGTAAACATTACAAATATCAGCTACACTAACTGTAGCACCTTTAAACTTAAACCTTTCACACGTATATAGTTTAGTTTTGGGTCATTATTTCCGATATGCAGTCATTTTGTGAGCTCTGGTTTGAATGATCTCTCAGTTATTGCAAACGCTGTTGTTTTTTGTTATCATTGTTTGATAGGGTTAACTCATATCTTCCTTGCTATACTCTAAAATAGTTGCCAGTAGCAACCGTTCAACATCCACACCTTATATTTGAGATGATCAAATTAAAGATTTGGTCTCTGGTTATTTACAGTTAAATTGAGTCATCAGATGAAGTCCTGGATAAAACAATGAATTGTTCCAGGCCCTCCTCCATACATTTATATTCAGTGTGTCTCGTCCACCCACCTCTATGCTAGTAATACTTGACCCGATCATTCAGAGATTTCTGAGGAAACAAGATAAAACTGTGACGTTTTGTTACACGTAATGTAACAAAAACTGTGTGAATTAGACTCCTGTTCAATTATTCATCCCACTTGACTACTGCTGTGGGATTTAGGGTATTCTCAGAATAAAGAGATGCACTGATGGTTTAAAGACGTGAAGTTAATGACGAGTCTCCATGTGTCTCACTAATGAGATGTAATTGGCTATTGGAGCGGAGGGGGAGTGTAGGGACGGTGACCTTTAAATCATCAGCCATGATGATCCATCCATCCTCTGCTGCTTTGTTCCCCCCTGCTCTGGACTCTAAATCAAACCCCTAAGCAGGAACTATCACAGGAGCAGAGAGGGAGAGTCCTTCTCGTAATGCTTTTGGACCGCGGTGCAGTTTAATGCAATTGAAATGAAGGCGTTGTTGTTTTCAGCCTGTTATTGACTTCATACAGCGTGTGTGTGTGAGTGTGTGTGTGTGTGTGTGGGGGGGGGGGGAGAGGAAATGTGGAAATCATTACAGTAACGGGGACAGGGGAGGGATTTCATTTGGCTCTCTGTTTGGTCTCTTCTTGCCTATTTACACAATTAGCTGTTACTGGCTGGTGAGCACAAACCTCTTGCAGATGACGACATCACGTATGTTACTCGCTGGTCTTATCAGGAAAAAAAAAAACACACATTCATTCATTTAATGGCAAGATTGCACTTTGGTTTGTGCTGCATGTTTCTCTCATTAGCTCATACTAAAAGACAACTGCATTACACTGGTTCTGTTTGAAACAATCTGCCCTACAGACTGCATCATTGTATGGAGAATGTAACTCTGTTAGGATTCTGTATTTTGGAAGATTATGGTGTTTAACTACAAGTGATTTATGATAATAAGGTTTTGTGTTATTTTCAGTCCCTCTATTCTTCTCCTCTTCCTGCATCTCTCTCTATCCCATATTTTCAAAGCCCAACACAGTCTCAGCAGATGTCTGGTTCTGCTCGAGGTTTCTGTCTCTTAAAGGATGTTTTTCATTGCCACTGTAACTTTGCTGCATGTAGCTTAGTGCTGAGCTCATGGTGAGTTAATGTCGGGTCGTAGTAGACAATATAACAAGAGAGTAAGGTCTTACATGCTCTTTTGTAAAGTGTCTGCAGTTAACATTTATTATGCATTGTCTCTATAGAAATAAAGATTGATTATTTATTAAATATCTTTAAATATCTTCTATTTAAAAACTAAGCTAACAGCGTTGGAGGCAGCTCAGTTTGCAGCCCTTCCTGACAGCTTGTCCACAGATTGAAAAAAGTACATTGATTTTTAGCATGAAACTGGTTTATTTGTTGTTTCGTAACCATATTTAATTATCTTTGCATAAAAATAATGAATCAAGGCTTAAAAGTGTGATGATATCTTTTAAAAAGTTAGGCCAGTCTCTTTAAACAGGCGGCATTAGTGTCAATATTGTTCAATGTAAAAAAAATAAAATGATCATGTTTTCTGCCATACGGAGCTGAGCTAAACACATCTGGCTGACTTGTGTCACATCAGCATGAATGTGAGAGTTTATTGACTCTTGTGTGACATCTCACTGTGACCTTCTCTCTCTGTGATAACACAAAGACAAAGCAGAGTCACACACTCAGATAATGGGAGAGAGAGAAAAAACAGGGATGGACACACTCTCTGTGTACTTTGGCTCCCTCCACACTCTGCTGGTTAAACGTCCTTCTGCAGGGTTTGACACAGTGCTCACATGATTCATGTGATGAGGAGCAGTGAGCTGTGAAGCAGGTTCGTGTTTTTCTGGAGGACACCATGTCACTCTGCTGGTGATTACTGCTGAACATAAAGTCACCTGATCTGAAGAATCTCAGACTCTAAACCACACTATTTGCATTTCTTCTCATGGAGCTAGAAGGTTGTTTTAGTCAGGCCGCTAGATTATAAGGGTCAATTAAATTGAGTTTGACCGTCTGATCAAACCATTAGAGACATTCAGGGAGTCTTGACCAAGAAAGACTTCATTCATATCGGTCAGTGAGGCTTTATCGTGCCATGAACCTCATGACCGGGTTATCAAGCAGGAAATGTCTTGCCTCAGACTTCCTGGAATTTAAGTGAAACTGTAACATCAAATGGTTGAAAAATAGAGGACTTGCTAATTTCCTATTTAGGCTAAACTTAGATCCACATTTCCACATTTTGTTTTTTTGTAGAAAGAGGAATAAAAGAAAAGCGATGTGCTGAGGCTTTGAAAAAAAACAGCTGTTGCATGTATGCAGAGTATTTGTGTCTTACTCAGATTTATGCCCAGGACTTTGCTTGGATTCTTATGTCAACACTTTGACTTTTTTGTCCTGCCTGCAATTCAGCCTGCAGGATGAATCTCCTCTGTAAAAAAAAGCCGCATGTTTAATCTTTTATTTATAGTTTATTTAATAGGGGACGTATACAGTGTTCATAAACAAACAGAAAACAGCTATGGGATACAATTATCACAGAGTTTACAGAATAATCCACCACATTTGTGCATGCTAGTAGCTACATTTGAAATGGACAAAAGACTCATTTTTTTATCACATTAATACATCTGAACAACATGTTTCTATCAGTTAACTTTAAACTGAAAAAGCCTTTAAGGAGTGAGGAAAAGAAGGAATGATGAAAATGTAAACGTTTTTCTAAAAATCTTTGTTTTGTCACTTTTGTTTTACAAAACGAGGCTGTATGGACTACATGCTAAAGTATAATAAAACCTTTGGCTATCAAAGTGTTCTTTTCTTGTCCTGCTCTACAGACTCTGGACATATGCAGATTTCCAATTATAGAGATTATGGCATTCTTAAAAGCAATCATGCGCTGCTGCAGTCACATCATCAGTCACAGAGAAGTGCATGTAGCCACTGTGACTTCTCCCTTTGGTTTGTTAACACCCTTTTATTTTTAAAACCAGAAGGGACTGGAATGTGTGCCATGGTGGATACACACTAATTTCCCAAATTGGAAAGCGGCCACTGTTTGTACGGTCATCTTATAGGAGGGCCACTTCACTACAAGAAAGCACCGCTATTCTGAAAATGATTTTTTTTATTTTGAGTTTAAAAACATAAAAAATGTCTACAGAAATACATGATTTAACTGTGTGTTTGCAACCTTTTGCTATTATTTTAAGTTGATTGAAACATAATATTTTATAGAAATGTGTTTATATTGAAATGTTATATCAAAGGGGAGTTAAAATGGATATGTAACAGCTACAAAGAGATAATAATCTGTCTTTAAAATTAAATGAACGATACATTTTTTTTGCAGGCCAGATAATTTTTTATTATTTCATATTTTTGACATCATGTGTGAGGCAGAGCAAGGGGGATTGTACTCCAAAATACACATCATTCTGTCTTGAAGAGAACTAGTGATTGAGACCATAAATACATTTGCAAAATGTCTATGCAGATCAAGTGAGAAGTTGTTGGGTTTTTTTTCATCTGGTTTTGAATAACATCTAATTTCAACCAATCGGCAACCTCCTTTTTTGAAAAATGAAGCCTATGCAAAAGTGCAAAACCCTGCAGTTCCTTGAGTGTCCACTTGAGGCTGTCTCCAAGAAGACCTGAAGTCACATACACACATCAGCCAAAAAAAAAACGTTTCCACAGCATAAATAAACATGTTTACAGACTGGTACAAAAACAAAATAGGTCTGATAGTTATTGTCATCAGTGGCACACACTTTATGGGGGGTGATTTTTTTTAAACTGCTCCGTTTTGACTTTGAAAATGGTACACGTTTTACATAGTTCGGCGTGTAGCTGACATGATTGACAGGTGGGCTCGATGTAATGGTTCGCCAAGAGGCTTAAAACCCGCCTCAGCTTCGGCTCAAAGTCGTTAGGTTGACTAAAAGTTAGCCCCCTGCCGTAAAAGATGGCTGACTTCACTCAGGCTTTGTCCATTAATATTTATAGTCTGATTTCATCCAGTGGAGTCGCCCCCTGCTGGTCTTTAAAAAAGGTGCATGTTTGAGGCACTCATCCTTTTGAAATTAGGCTAATTCAACATCAGATATACAGTCTATGATTGGGAAAACACATGTGCCTCAAGCTAAAAATGCAATATCTAATATTTGGTTCTTCCAAGTATGTAGTTGTGTTTTTTTATTCCCAAGGTGATCACACGAGGTTCCCAGACCTTTCCTTGTGTGTGAAACACCGACACTGTTATCGGCTGACTGTCTGGCCTTAAAATCCTCCATGTAATCCATCAGAGCTGCATTACAATGTGTCATCTATGCTACAGAACAATATAAAGGCAGCCCGGGGGCAACACAGCGGTCCTCCTCGCTGCACACTGAGGCAACCGGACACCACATGAAGGCAGTTCGAGGGAAAGACGTGTCACGCTTGTTGCAAGAAAATTAGAACTGCATGTGTGCGTTCAAATTTTTAAAGCTTGGAAGTTCAGCCTAAGTTAGCTGTGCGTTCAGGTTGTTCTAAGGTTTCCCCCCTTCCAAGACCAGAACGCATTATCCCTGCTGCTCCCATCAGCATGAATAATTGACCGTGCTGACATTGGACGCATTGTGACTCTGGGCACCCACGGGTGTTTTATCACTACAGATGGATGAGGGTTGACAGCCAGAGCAGGCAGGACATGTGTTGAGTGGAGGTGTCATGTAGTGAGGATGAAACGCAGCACACTGTAGGCTTATGAAAACAACATAACCACCTGTGTGATAGATGGATCTTAAATGAAGAATAAACCGGCCAATTTATTCTAGTGTGATAAGGTTATTTTGACGCTCTGGGGGTCATTGATTTAGCAAATGAAACGCCTCCGTCCCTTTGGCTTTATGTGGCGTATTACCTCAGGCTTAACCTCTTCAACCTGGAGAGACCTCAACCCAGACAGACGAGTGGAGGAGGGGAAGAACTGAGAGATATGCAAACCCTTTAAAACAAAAGCAGCATAATGAAGTGAGGAATGTTTCACACCTCAACAAGAGCAGATGATTGCTATTTGTTTTCTTTTTTTGTCAAAGATGATTTAAAGATATTCATGATTACATACTGCATGCACATCATCAGTATGTTACAATAAAGGCTGTAATATCGAATACTTGCATCGACCCCAAGTGAACTTTTCTGACATATTAATAACCTACATAATGAAAATATGATCCTTTTTTTATTGAAAATAGGACATTCGATTTGGAAAGACAGACAACAAGACTTTCTTGTATGCTCCACAGTAACTTGCGACGATATATAATGAACTGTAAAATCCACTCCTCTAAGTTTAATGTGACAAAATTCAGATCACGAGGTCAGAGCTGCATGGGGAACAAAAAAAAGAGTCTGACGTCTTGTTCAGTCTGCATGTTGGGCATGCTTAACTTTTCCGCTGGAGATAAAAGTGCACGTTCATTCAGTTAGACTCAACACATAACACAGAGGTACCACAGTGAATGTGTCCTTCATGTAACAAAAGAATCCAAAGATTTCTAAACATTTTTATCATTTAACTTTTCTGTTTCAGGGCTCCTGGAAGAATAATGGATGAGGGCTATCTCTAACACTTGGACATTTGGATCTTCGGACTGAACTATGGAGGGTGGTGATGAGTGTGTTAATGTGAAACAGTCTCAGACTGATGCATGCAGCGCTGAGGTTGCAGGAGGAGGCGAAGGAGAGATGCTAAGTAAAGCTGAAGATGCTGCTGATTCCTGTGTCAGCGCTAAAGAAGGACTCTCCAACCTGGTGGATCCTCCTGCTCCGTCAGTGGTGAGTCCCTCTGCTGAAGCGCCAGGAGGCGTAGCGCTTAAAGTCGCCACAACTGTGCTGCACCCGGTGTGTCTGGGAGAGACCCCGCTGATGCTGCCCATCCACCTGCAGATGGCCGGAGCTGCTGGGCCTCAGCTCGGCCAAATGGGGGCGTCGCCATACCTGATCACGAGCCAAAGCCCGGTCTCTCTTCCTATGGTGTTGGATCAGCAGGTCCTCCAGCACATGAGTCCATCGGTGATCCCTCAGACTGCTAACTGCCCTCAGCTGCAGAACAATGTCCTGTGTCAGAACCCTTTGGCGTTTGGTTTACCTCCAGCTGTGGATCAGAAAGCAGCAGCACAAACGCAGGAGGCTAACCTGCTGTCACTCCTGCAGAATCCAGCGTTTGCAGCCATCTTGCAGGATCTTTTCTCCTCTCAGGCGGGCGCTTCATCCACCTGTCAGTCCCCAGGCTCTCCATTTTTCCCTCTTCCTCCCCTCACACCCCCCTACTCCTCTCCTCTGGCCCCGTTAGTCCCTCCAGCCACCCTTCTAGTTCCCTATCCTGTCATCATCCCTCTGCCAGTGCCTCTGCCAGTCCCTCTACCTATCCCCATTCCAGTCCCTCAGACTGAGGACTCAAAGGGGAACATGCCAAAACCAGTTTGCACTGTGAGTAAAAGCACTCAGACGTCTCCTAAAGATACTACCTCTCCTGCGTTGTCCTCGAGCAGATTCATGCCATCATTCCAGCTGCAAAATGTGTCCCTGTCCTCACTTCCTGTCGATGAAGGGCAGGCCCTGGACCTCTCCGTCCGGACATGTCCTGTTGAACTGAAACAGGAATCTCCCAGTCCGCAGCAAGACAGCGTACTGGATTTGTCAGTGCCTGGTGTGAGGAAGAAGTATGACAAAGAGGTAGCTTTCCATTCCAGTCAGGATACAAGAGCTACCTCATTGTCTTTGGGCGTTCAATGCACTCAGAGTTTAGATTCCAAACTTCTGGGCAGTTTGGCTTCACTGCAGTTCAGCCGGCAGCATAAATGGGTAGTCGACAGCGGTCCAGGTGGGTCGGGAACTCAGGAGGCGTCTATAAGCGGAGCAGGAAACCTGGAGATACTCAGCACCTCGCAGACAGCCAAAGTCATCGTCTCAGTGAAGGACGCCATCCCTGCAATCCTCTGCGGGAAGATAAAAGGCCTCTCAGGGGTCTCCACTAAGAACTTCTCAATCAAACGGGACGGCAGCCAGGGGCCGTCTCTGCAGCAGCTCTACGCCCTGCCGTCTGCATCTCAAGCCGAGCAGCACGACCCCAACAACCCGCTTAAGAAGGTCCCAAAGAGCAGGGCCATCAAGCTGAAGAAGGTCAGCTCACAGGAGATCCATTTCCTCCCGGTGAAGAAGCAGCGACTTGCAGCGTTGCTCCCCAGGAAGTGAAAGTGCCCGGCGGTGGGGGGATTAATTGTTGGAGCGCTCTCTGGTATCCCGTCCAGAGCGTGTAACATAAAACACATGTGGAGACGGTCTGTAATCAAAGTCATACACGTACATGTACCGTCGAAAGCTCAGAGTCTGGCTCCAAATGTTATAGAAAATGAGCTCATGAATGTCTGACAGTGTCACACAGTTTTTTTGTTATTCTGTGATGCACTACTCCAAAGTGTTGCATTAAACCTGAAATGTTTCTGTCAATGGCAGCTTAATGGCCTCTCCATGAATCACGGAACATTTCTTGACTGCAAAATCACAGAAAAGACACATGGGTTCAATTTCTCCATATCTGGAGTCAAGGTTTTTTTTTCCACAAGAAATTTGTCTTGAAGTGCACTGAGGACCTTAAAGAAATGTTGTCAGAGTTTCAAACTGTTCACATCAGAGCAGTTTGTGCTGGCAGGACGTGACACAAACTCTTAAAAACATGTCCCATGGTTGGAAATTCCCAAAGTCATCACTGGCTCAGTGGAGCGTTTCATTCTCATGTGATTGGTTGGGTTTAAGCATGACAGACTAATAATGATTTGGCAGAGCGAGAGCCACAATTTCATTAAAGTAAATGTTGGAAACAGCCGTAAGTCACGAAAAAATACTTTCTTATGAAGTATAACAGCAGCAGAAAAAAGGGGTCTTTTTTGTCTTCACATTTCATACAATTTCTGTGAGCCTTTCTTAATATAAGGGAAGTACTTATAGAAAAGAGCTTTTTAAATGGTGGAAATAGCCTATTGAATCCAAAATTAAACAGCAAGTGAGACACAGCTGCACCCCCCCCCCCCCCCCCCCCACCCCTAATGTTTGCATTAAACATTACCTTTGGTATTTTTAAACAGGGTCCTATTCGTACATAATTTAGGAATATATCTCTAAAAGTTACAACAACCTTTATATGGCTTCAGTAGATTGTTTAGGCTGCAACGTTTTCTGAGGTAAATTTGCCAGATCTATATAGAGCATGTTTGCTAAAAGGACTCGTTTTAGCCAGGGTCACACTTAGATTATTGTTCTAAGTGTCTGACAAAATTTCAGAAACTATCCCTACAAAGTTAGTTTTAAAAAAATAAAGAATTAGATGCTTTTTAGGAACCCACCAACAGCGGATACAATACCCTCAAAGCCACCAGCCTGAATGAGCAAAAAATGTAATTTTACCTTACAGAACACAGGAGTTGCTGGTCTACTGCTGCTCTGATTAGTTAAAATTTGTGTTATTATGCGTCACACTAATATCTCTCCATAGCCTGTCAAATTAACCCCAAATTTTGAGCAAAGTCCATCCTCTCCGTCTTTTGCCTGCTCCACTTTTTAGAAAATGTGTAGTCAAACAGGCCGTTTGGAGATTTTCCCTTCATGACATCACAAAGGGCAGTAACCCCTCCCCCAGGTGGGTGACACTCCCACAGCTAGGTGTTTGTTCTGTCATCTGAGTCTGCCTTTTCACCGTAAACAATACGACACAGTGTGAGAAGCCCAAGCCACCCAAACCCCTTCCAGAGAGGAGGCGTGGTCAAACACAGCTCATTTACATTTAAAGGTACAGACACAGAAACAGCCTGTTCTGAGCAGGGCTGAAATAGAGGGGTTTATAGACATGATCAAATACAGGATCAGAGTGGATTTAGAACAAGAAACTTCACAGACATGTCCTGAGGAGCTCTGAGGCTTATTTAAACTGTTTGAAAAGGAGGAGAATATGTGACCTTTATCATTTAAATCAATAAATAACATACACAACAACAACAAAAAACTGTTAAGTCAGGAGTGGACAAGCAACTCCTATGCACAAGGTAAAAGTTCTGTTTTTTTCAATGGAGTCTGGCAGTGTTTTCGAAAATGTTATGAAGGCTGTTTCTGGTTAAAATAAAAGGATTTATCCCTGATCTGTCCCTGTAGGGATCAGTTCTGTAATGTTGCCTGACACTAACATTTACAACGTGAGTCGATCACTGGCAACAAGAAGCTCTTTAATTGGGCATATTTTGATCGGGCACATTTTTCTTTTGGGATTGAGTTGTAGCAGCAACAGTCTTTATTCCAAGTTGTTCTTTTGCATTTTGGCATTCACATTCAGAGTATGTCTTAAACATAGGGCCCAGGTTTAAAAATACTAGACTTACTCCAAACTGACAAATGAATTGAATCCAAGAACAAGTTTTATATGGTGCTATTATTGTTGCAAAAACTATTTACACATTAACAAATACTTCAAACAGATCTGCAAATATCTGCAAGACCTACATGTGTCGATGTATTTACACATTTGCAAATGGTTTTCAACAATAATAGCTCCACACTTTAAATATTTATTTACCTGTCGAGTCAACCGAACATGTGAAGAGAAGATAAAGATGGAGAGAAAAGATCGAAGAAGTAATGTCTGTATCCTGGCATCAGTCAGGGAGAAGATTGTTGGTGTGTTTGTGAAGTGAATCTGTATTGATGAGTCTCCACATTCTGTTTCTGTCTGCGTAAATCTTTAGTTCAAAGTGGTTTCATGTCACTTTTATGGTTTTGTTGATCTTGGCGGAGATGTTTCTGTCCCATGATTAGATCAGAGTTGTGAATGTGAGAGTATTGGTGTTGTGTGTCCATTTATTTATCCTGTTGAGTGCACTTTGCCATAGTTTAGTTTGAAGCGTTACAGGGTGTTGCTACATTTTTTGCTCAAACTGTTTCCCCCACTGATTGTGAATGGAGCATTTATAAAAATCTGTGAATTAAAGGCCAAGAGCTACAAACATCTGGATGCAGACTGTTGGAGAGATGAAAGAAGGGATGGAGAACCCTACACAATCCTTCATGTATACTGATGAACTTTAACTCATGTCCGCAGAATCAACAGAGCGCTTGGTTTTAGCAGCTCGAACACTTTGCCTGTACATGATTTCACACTAATTTATTCTTTGTGAAACTTTTATTTATACAATCTGTAAATATCCCGGATGATCGTCAGTTGTTACTGTCTTTCTCCTTTTGAACTGTCGGACTCCTGAAGCACTTTTTATGCTTCCAAAAACATTTCCTTTTAGTGAAGAAACACCAGTGCTGGCAGTTTGATGTGTGTTTACTGTACAGTATGTGTTTTTTATATGGAAGGGAACTAAAAACTAAAAGTCTGAATTTGTGTCTCTGTCTCTTCTTTAACATCCACTTTGGAAATGTTTGCACGTTTACATTATTACAGAGGTGTTTAAACATCAATAGACATAAGTGTTCATCAGCTAGGTGGGTTGTTTTTTTCTCATCTGATTTACTTCAACCATCATTCCTATCAGATACACAAAAATCACAATTCCTGAACTAAATGCCAGGCTGTTCAGTAAGCTGGTTCAGGTGTGTAGGCCAACGCAGGTGAGGCGGCTAAAGCATCCGGATGCCATGTGAGTATTTTTAGTGCCGGCATGCACTGAATGAACTGTGAGAGATGTAATCTTGTGGCACCTTCATTATCTCTGTTACACCTGGCTGCACAGCCTTAAATACAGGTGTCAACAAACCCAGGACTCACTGAGATCCGATCCCTCAGATTAGACAGATGATTAAAAGAGGAGACAAGTGTATGGATAAGTCTGTTAACCAAGCTGTCCCTTACTCCATAAACAGTATGGGTTATCCGTTTGTTTATAGACAGCCCACTATAATCATAAACTACATGTCTCTGCATGCTGGTGGCAGATGTGACCCCCGAGCTGTTCAGAGTTTATAATTAAGCAGTGCAGTGAGGATGTTTTATTGCTTGGGACTGTTTGTTAATCATGCAGATCTTTTTTATCTAATGTTGATATTAACAGAGAATCCAGTCTGCAGAGAGGTTCATTAACATCACTAATAAACAACAGAACTGCAGATGAACATCAGGCTTCATGATCAACATTTCCCTGCATCAGTTCATCAAATACTTTTTAAAGTCTCCTAAAGGTGAATGACACTCCTTGTTGATTTGCATAAACATCCAATCACATTTGGAGATGTATGACCTATATAAATGTAGAAAATGTTAAACATTGTAAAATGTGCAGGGTGTCACACATTCCAGTCTGCACATTGCACTTTGACATCCTGGACAATTTAAGCGCTGACATTTTACACTCTTTACATTTTCTACATTTTGTATATTTCCTTTTTTAAATCTTATCTTATATATTTCTACATTTACTACTGTATATATGTTTACTAATATTTTCTTTTAGCATTTATTGCATGGCTGCACATCTGTTTGAGCATGTGACAAAAAAAAATCTTAATCCTCAATGACCTGGCCAGGTGTAAACAGATGTGTAGAGATTTGCATATGTGATCGCATCAGTCATGACACATCGATAAGACCAGGACTGAACAGTCTCATAAAGTCCAGTGACTCTTCTGACATGGGTTTTTTTTTTGGTAATGAAATTCCAAGTAGGTTTGATGAACACAGAGGCAACAAAGCATTTACTATGGAGTATTGTGCAGGACAGGAACTCTTTTCTGATTTCTCAGCTTCTTCATCCTCGAGATGAGAAGAGAGCAGTTGAAGATGCAGGTATTTAAAAGTCCTCACTTTATTTAATCTGCTGTGAATGAACACCTGCATCATCTGTCATGTTTAAGTAAGAGTCTTCCATTGTATGTTAGAATCTCTGTCCTCATCCCACCTTATTCCTACAGTGCATCAATTCTAAAACTAAATCCTGCTTGTTGCTGCAGAGACATCCAAAGTCTGGAGTTTAGATGAAATCAGTAACAACACATGAACATCCTTTTTTTTTGGTAGGTTTATAAAAACAAGAAAAGGAGATACACAACATCATAAACACATACTGTTTATCTGATGTGACGTGATGGACAAGTGACGCTTTGCAACACATATTTTTCAAGTACTTAAAGAAGATGCAAGAAGAAGGAGAGAGGGAAATCAACAGCACTTGGATCCTGTGTTGAGTATCATATGGCACAGAGTCTTTTAAAAAATCAATGAAGGGAATAAGAAGAAAAGTTCTGTTGAGTACATTATAAACAGTCTGCTACAAAAGCTTGTACTAACAAAGACCACGTAAACCTGAGAGATGTCGTAGGTAGAGCAAGGCAGAGTCTATTACTGGGAGTATTGAACTAAAAAGCGCTGCTGTGTTGAAGTATTAAAAAGCAGAATGAAATCCCGTGTGTGAAATATTCACCACGTTCCCGTCCACCATTATCTTCACATTTCTAGCTTAATGTATATGATTTCCTTAAAATATTAAAGTTTCTACAAAATGTACATTCTGTCGCTGATATTCATGGTTAAACCCATAAAACTGTACAAATCTGTTTTCATTGCTAACAGTGATCTGAACGGTCAGAAGAGACAACACTGAGGTGGTCGCAGGCAGGCGGGCGGGAGTGAGGGGGCGGGCAGATTGATGAGTCTGTGTCCACAAAGCCTTTCATTCAGCCAACGAGGGTCTTATTCCCAAATGTTGTAAAAAGAGGAAAAAGCATGTTTGGCTGAATGCAGCCCCCAGGAGGACAAGCACATTACCCACTGTCTTTGAGTTATTCCCCTTTTTTTGTGCGGTGGTTTTAAAAATCTCTTGACTTTCAGAAAGGTATCATCCATGTATCTGTTCTTAGACAGACTGACAACAGGTTACTGGAATAACCAAGAAAATGGATAAGAAGATTGTTCTGACAGTGTCTACCAGTGAGTTAAGATTTGTCTGATATGCATGCAAACTCCTGCAAACCTTCTAACATGCATCAATTAGCAACATTTAGTACTAGACCAAAACGTTGCCAGTAAATGTTGCAGGTTGGAAAGTGTGCAGGAGTCTGCTTTAAACTTTTGATCAACACATTTTACTGTTACGATCATTCTGAAAAAAACATCATAAATAGAGAACAGAAGGAGCAGTGTGTGGAGCAGATCATCTGAAGACGACTTTAAAGGCTTTATATGTGATTTTTTGATCCAGTAGATGTCGCCCATGAGCACCAGCATGAAACCAAAACAACTTGCGCTGCATTGTTGTGTTAGCATGCTAATGCTAGCGATCTTTATTATGCTCGTATCTTCACACTGCATGTAAATTTACCTGAAATGAGCGTGATCTAGAAACACAGTTAAGCAGTGAGTACAGTATGTTATTCTTCTTTTCTCTAGTCCCTCAATTAAACAACTTTTATACATGAGGGGAGGAGTCAGCCGGCCGTCCTGGCGATGTAAACAAAGTGAAGATAGGACTCTGAAAACTCTGAAAACATCACAGACAGTGGGACTCGGGTGTTACACCCATTGTAGACAGTCATGACTCACAGAGTTATTTTCAGAGGATATACTTGATTTATATTACATTTAAGTGTGAAAAATCACATAAGAAGCCTTTAATAACTTTTGGATGAGGCCATAATATTACTTCATATTTGTCCTCATCAGATCATTTAATGCCTCTCTTACTTGATATACAACTGAGGGACTCTTTCCCTCATCTTTCAATAAAACAATCAAGGGGCAGCACCCTCCATCCAGTTCATGCTCATAGGGAAAAACCACCTTAAACAAATACACAACATATTAGCTGCATAATGATTATATGCAAACCCTCCATGATAGATAACCAAATGTTGTTGTCTTGGAAACAAAACCCTACTGCATGTGTGTTTGTTTTCTCTCAATGCAGAAGCTCTTCATCCCAGCGCCATGCCAGAAAATAACTTTGTGGACACAGGCTCTGCCATGATTAGAATTATTACAGGAAAAGTAAACATAAAAAGCCCTTAGAAATGTTTGTTTGCACGTACTTAACGATCTGTTTAAAATGGATGAGGGTGTTACTTGTGAGTGTGATGAGACCTGCGTTGGGAGCCCACAGAGCATCCACTAAGACACAATGATAATACATGGTGCCACACAGCAGAGAATGATCCTGCAGGACACTCGTGGAAAATGAGAGCTTCAGTTAAAAAACGTTAAGGATTCTGACAATATTCAAGCCAATGAAAACATCTGTCGGACCTCCAGGCGTACATGAAGAGTGAAAAACAACTAAACAGAGAGCATCCAGATTCTCTTGGGGAAGAACATCTGACGGATTTGTCTTTTGTTTTTTTTGTTTCAGTATACCAACTCTTCCTTAATAAGTGGAAATTGGACAATAATAAAAACATTATATAAGAAGAAACATTCTCCATCTTTGGGGGATCCAAAACCAGGATCAAAAGATTTCATCTCCGTAAAAAAAAAAGCGTGTCCACGTGTGCTATGCAATGTAAACACTGCAGGGATTCTTTCCTTTGGGATTTCAGAGAGTTTTTTCATTCACTGATGAGGGGATGAGGTAATGTGTCAGCACTGCACGGCACACTTTCTCCGCTCTGGAAGTCAGGAGGAAGTTGTAACATCAGTCAGAGTAACATGTGGCCCCCTGCGGCCCCCATGAGTCCGGCTCTGTCGGAGTTTTATTGCTCATGGGTCTGACAGGGACGGGAACACACGGGCCTGCTCTCACAGTTTTCCCTGTTTCAGTCGATCTATGTGATGGCAGAGCTTCAGTGCAGGCCCCAGCTTCAGACCCATGTACTTCATGATCATGTCGCTCCGCAGCAGCATCAGAGCTTTCCCATCAATCTCCTGCAGGGGACAAGAGACATTATAGATTAGGGGTATTGAAGTCAAATTCAACAGGGTCCAATTCAAGAAAATGTCTGGAACATCATCATGTCATAACTTGTGATGAGTCAGTGTCATACGCTATGAAGGAGCTGAGTAGTCGTAGAAATACCTTCCCCAAATTTTCCCATTTCTGACACTTTTCTCTCTGTCGACTCCTCCCTGTGTTTTCTGTATTCTCACACTCACTGTGTTCACTCTCAATGCCTGGTCTGAGTAAAAGATCTGATTGGCTGATTGGCTGATTGGCTGATTAGCGTCAAGTGTGACGTTTTCCTTACAAACGCTTTGGTCTGTGACCTTTCCTGGCTGCTGAAATCACTGCCGTAAAGGCAAGAAAAACTGCACCATTTTAAATAGATAACCATTAAAGCATCAAAGGCTACACTTTAAAGTGGAAGCACTCATCAACATTAGCCCGGGTCTGGACAGGATGGCACCTGGGTCTGGATAAACACTTACCTTTTAGCCGGCCGAGAAGAGTAGCTTTTAAAAAGAGTAAAAATACTCATGCTACTGTTCTATATTTTAAAGAGATTTCATGATTTGTATTCAGCAGAAGTTGTGCCTGCAGCTTGACTGTCTGGGATTATTTAGGAACATATACTAAACGTGCTTTTTCCTGAGTTGCTAACTACAGTCAGCTGCATCTCTGCAAATTCTCTCTGAAGCTGTGTCATGGCACACAGAGTAAAGCAGAAGCAGAGGGAAAAAATGACAAGCTGTCACAATGTAAGTCTCCAAACTAATAAAAAACAAAAACTAACAGATGAAATGGAGAGTGGTGGTGGGAAAAAAGGCCAGCCAGAAGTAATGCTAGTCTGATCCACTCTAATCACCAGAAGACTAACAGTGAAGTCAGTTAAAAAAATGTCTGTAACAGATGATGATGAAATCAAATCCTGGTCTGCTGCAGTCCACTGTGAGTAACTCTTTGAACTACAGGGCTGTCAGCAGGCAGGGAGAGGCTCTCTAACGAGCTGGTATTTTGTAATTTGTACAAATGATATGAATAAAAACAGAACAAGCGATGTTTACTTTTTTTTTGGACTTAGTTGAAATGTGAGATTGGCACATCACACATGATGAGGACATGCATGTAAACAGTGTTCAATGGAAGTTTAGGTGTGTGTGTGTGTGTGTGTGTGTGTGTGTGTGTGAGGCCAAACAAAAATTGCTGCACTGAGGATGTAGCTTCTGCAGCTGCTCCTGCTTTTTAGGATGTTGTATTTATTTAAGTCTTCCTTAAATATGGCATCACCCATTGTAAAGCAAATACTTTCAAATATATTGCATTTAAATTAAACTGAGCTCACACTCTGAATGTTCTGCCCATTAGTTGAAAGATTACAGTGCTAAAAGCTGTAGCTTTGAAATCATTAGAGGACGGTAAGGATTCGACTTGCTATGTTCAGCCCTGTTTGATTTAAAGCAGCATTTACCCAGGTGGTTGACACAATGTGTCTGGGACTGTTAGCTGTAAAAAAAAAAACAGTTGTCAATACACATGTAGTCAAAATGAACTCACATGTTTTCTGAATAGTTCAGCGTGTGGAGCTAACGCTGTGGGGTCAGCGTCCCTCACAAACTGCATCACCTCCTCGATGGACCAGGACGACGGGTTCTTACTGGGCAGCTGCAGACTCTCCCGCTCAGACCCCAGAGCTTCAGGACCGGTGGTGGAGCTGGCTGCTGACGGAGAAAAATCACACATTAAACATGTAACGTAGAGCAGTTATAAACATCTATTTACACAGACTGCTACTGCACCTTCCACTCGTCTGAGGGGCGGTGTGGAGCTGAGCTCTCCAGGGTTGGAGGAGAGGCGGCGCATGGTGGTGGCGTTGCCGGCGTGGTAGAGGCTGCTGGTTTGGGAGTGGTACTCTGAGGAGCTGCGTGCTGTTTGTGGTCGGGGGGTCATGGAGTTGGAGGCCGAGTCCATGTAGCGCTGCTCCTTTATGTGACCGTTCTCTTCATGAGGCAAAGTCTCTGCTGGAGAGAGAAAAACAAAACACACATCCAAATGTTGTTCTTTAAAACCTTCTATTGAACATCTGGGCTCCAAAAAATACATTTAAAAACTTTGTATGTAACATAGTAATCACATTGAAATAAAGGCAAATTTGATGTAGAAATGAGTCTTCTAGAATCAATTAGCACAGAATGCACAGAGTAGTAATAAGAAGGAGTACAAAATAATTGTGTTTGAGTATAAAGAGTATTAAAAATATGAACACATCATCAGAGTTTTGAGCTGTACCTTCTGAAGGATGAGCTTCGGTACGTAAATGTTTGGGGGATAGAGGAGCTGCATATGAAGGAGAGATTCCAGAGAGACTCCGTTTACTTCCTCGAGCAAGAGATGGGGCGTCCAACACCTCTTCTTTCACTGAAACACAAACAAGAAACAAGTCCAGGAGTACTGTATGTGCACACACACTGTAGAGGGTGGAGCCTGACCAATTTATCGGCAAGCCAATAATATCGGCCAATTATTATTAGAGTATCAAGTGACTCTCAGTATTAGAATTATCACCGTCCAGAGTGTCAAGAGGTGAAGCGCGTACATGCAGATACTTTCCACTTAAGTATGTTATACTGTCAATTTTTAAATAGTAAACTGTAAATACATATAAACATATCTATATATCTATCTATCTCTAAAGATCGAACACAGATTCAAAGAATGATATTGATGGATTTATCTATATAGGATATTTTCTCTTCCTACTATCTAAATGCACCTTAGGTTTTATATTTCTTCACCACCAAGGAGGCCAGTAAGGGAAACCTTTTTTAATCTCTTTATAAAATATCACTTTATATCACTTCATTTAAGGGGGGATAAATCTTTTATCGAATGAGGTATGCGCTGCCACACATCCTAAATGATAAGGATCAGTTTAATGTGCAGGAATAAAGATGTACCCTCATTTACAGAAATATATATATGTAAATATATTGATGGACTGTATTCTAAACTTAAATGCAAGTCTTTAGCATTTCTTTTTTATATTAAAAGTCTATTTTGCACACTGGATATTTCATTACATATCTTAGATTTCTTTGTTTCAATAATATTTTTATGTGTAGTTTTTTTATGTGCCTATAGGTTTTGATGTGTGTTGTTAGAAGTGGAGTCTTTGGGATTCTAGCTGCTGATGAAGAATCTATCTAACAGAGTTTTCTCCTTGACAGAGCACTGATGTGTCCTGAACGCCGGCTGCAGACTCTACCTGACTTGGTCCTGTCGTACGCTGTGTAGTGGCTGAACGGCTGACTGCTGAACAGGTTGTCACACTGCAGATGACGACACATCGTCTCCAAGAACCGCAGCACAAAGGAAGCACTGGAGGCTGCTGGGAGTTTGACCATGCAGACTCCACCATCTGTTCTCACTGAGGATAAAAGTCAACATGCTTTAGTTGCCGTTCTTTGAGCTACTTAGCAACAGTTTCAGATGTAGCATGTGTGAACACTGATTTGTGTGACTGTACCTCTAACAACCTCTCCTCCTCCTGAGTGCGTCTGCAGAGCGCTGAGCAGGACTTTAGGCTGGTACGCACAGTCTATACAGGACTGGACCACCTTCTGGAGCACGGCGTTCACTGGACCCGGGCCAAAGTGGTCAGGCAGACGCTGCATCTGCTTCCTGTCCAGGTGGGAACCGCAGTTTCCGTGCTTGTTCACATACACACACACTGGAAGAACACAGACACACAGGAAACACAGTGAAACATGAGAGCATCTAATGACAGCTTTATGTCATCAAAAACATTCAAGAGACGAAATTGAGGAATACTGGTCTTCATTTTGGAGTTACTGTGGTAGACCTCAATCAGCATCTTTTTCACCAGCTGTAACGGCTGTAATCTTTGATGCAAATATGTCCGATCAAAGTAGCACCACTTGTTTAGATGACTTATTTCAAGTCTAGTGTAATTACAAGTAATTACAAGTAACATTTTTTGATCAAAAGTAAATGCTTCTCTTCAATCAGAAACATCTGTAACATTACTCTCTGCAAAGCTAGCCTGTTGGCCACTGCTCCACTGGGTTTGTTTTTTGTTTGATTTTGCATTACACAAATGTTGTGTTGGATCCAAACTAAGAATTGCAAACACCAAAGGCTCAGACACAAACAAACTAGAAGGCAGCTGTAGGCCAGCAACTTGTCTGTTCTGCAAAGTTAAAATACTTTTTTTGTTAAAGGTTGGTGGCTTTGAATAAAGCGATGTCATGACTGTTTCTGATTGTAAAAATTGTAATCTTACTGAATCTTTATATTTACAAACCCTTAGAATTAAACGCATCCACTTTAGGGATGACATTACAGTCTGTTGTAGCTTCAAGCAATTATTATACAGATTTGTATCTTTATGTCAAAACCACAAAATGTAAAAAATCTGGCCCTTGTTTGAAAATACAGGAATTGCCTTTAAAGTACAGGAAGCAATCCTCACCTGTTGAAACCACAGAGTTGTGGCTGGGGGAGCTTTCTTGTGGGACCTGGATGCTGGGCAGCTGTGCTGGGCTCTGGAGGATTTTGGGCTTTCTCTGAAAAACACATGACATTTGTAGGCAAGACATAAAAAGAAAAAGGGTCTTCATCTGGTGTTTAAAAGTGTACTAGCTTGGGGTTTTTTGCTCACCTTGCTTCCAGGTTTGGGGCCCCTCTTCTTGTGGGGTCGGGGGACCAGCTGCGTGTTCTCAGGTACAGTCCCGTTATGGGCGGCGGCAGCCTCGGCCACAGCTTTGAGCAGAGCGATGGTCTCGCTCTTTGGTCGACGGCCTCTCACCCCCTTCCTGACAGGTAGAGGGGGCAGCGGGTTGGGGAGTCTGTAGGGGGACTGCATGGCCCGCCTGTTGGGCTTGGAGGGGGACGCCGGGAGGATCTGAAGGCTCTTTGGCAGCGTAACTTTAAAAACAGCAGAAACCAGAGTGGATATTAAAAACTGAGCTACCACACAGGAAACTCTTTATAAAAACTCATCCAAGAAGCTAGAACTACTGCATGCTACTGCAGAGACGCAATATGAGCAGACACATACAGCAGAATAGAGATGTCACAATCGTGATTTTCAGACTTAAATATGACACAAGTTAAAATACTGATCACTGTTTTGTTACCACAGCAACAAGAATTGAATCCTAGGCACCTCATATTGGGTCATTTCTTGTTTTTAACTGATAATTGCACAAATACATTCTGTACCAAAATGCTGCCAACGTATTTTTGCAATTTAGACCATGCTGTCTCACTTTCTCTCACATCAGCTTTTGGTTAAAATTATGACTGAAGATCTGGTCCCATATTAACAAAAAGTCTTCATTCAAAGAGGATATGGTCGACCCTGTTGCTACGTATGACACATTTTTTCCAAAGCTGTGATTGGTTGATCCAAAAACTGGGGAAAAAAAGTCTCTATGTGTTAGTGGGCATAGTAAGAGAGTGAAATCAATCGACCTAAACAAAGAATCTAGTCAGACATTGTGAAATTATTAAACACTATGTAATTAACATCCCTGTTTAATAAATTGAACGCTGCACTTTAATAGGGTATAAACTACAAAATGAAAACACAGGCCGACTTGAGCAGCAGCCCTGTTCACATACTGACAGTAACATCATCATGTGAAAGGCTTTTAAACACTGGTTAGATGCACATCTGGAGTAAACCTCATGTAGAGGGACTCATTGTGCATGTGTCAGTTTGCAATGAAGAAAGTCCAAGATGGAGTGAAACGTCTGCATTAATCATTTTTGTCTGTTCAGCCCAACGACTATTCAATAATACCTTAATAATAATCTTTAATTTTCTCCTCAGCTTGAGGAACTCTTCGGCCTCTTAAAAGTCCTTCTCACTACTCCTAAAAGTTTTACAACTTACAAGCTCTCTTAAGGGAAAATTTATTTTGCAAAATGATTGCAAACACTTGATTTGACACGATTTCAAACTGAACCGGTCTTTTCGGTTGCTTTAAGGGAGAAAAATTGAATTCACCCTAAAAGTAAAAAAAAAAAAAAAAAAAAAAAAAATCTGTATAGAAATCTAAAGTTGATCTAACATTTTTTCAGTTGATGTTGAACAGCAAAATCTGAAATGACTGTCAAAATCCTGAATCTTGTAATGAACTAAAAGATACAAGAACTGATGTACCAAAAAATAAATGAGCAAAGACATTAACAGAACTTTTGCTTCCATAGATTTCTGATTTGATTTTGCAGGCTGGTCCAACGAGAAGGGATGACAAAAATGAGCAATCATATGTATCTGTAAGAGAATCAGAGATTGTGTCATTCTCTCCTGACCCAGTGACCTCCACGGTACGCTGTGCTGTTGTAAGAGTCAGGGATTAAGATCCAAGTAAAGATGTTCTCTGCCAGTCTGGGATTGAACAGGTGGAATCTCATTACTGAAAATAACAGGGGTAGTGCTCCAGTTTATCTGTAGAGCTCCAATTAATCATTCTTACTCAATATGTGGTTAGGATTCATACACACATTTCAAACATTTCTGTTCTGTGTTGTAATTTAAAATATGATGAAATATGATAAGAGAGAACTTAATTAATCCTGAAGATAATTTGGATCCTGCGCCCCAGTCTACATTCGTAGTCTTTGTGGGCGTCCCATGTCCAACCCTTGTCACTTGCTGAAGGTCTTCCCCACTTTCTCTTTATAACATTTCTATCACTTTCTATTGTCCTATCAATGAAGCATACAGAAGCCCAAAAATACCCTTAAAAGAAGAAAAGGTATATGTATGGAGTAATCAACACAAGAAAAAAAGGGTCACTTATCAACTGCTTAAAGTGATCAACTAGACCCTGATTTTCTGGTTTCACTACATAACAAAGCTAGCTTCTCCACAACCACACACAGAGAAAACGTGTAACTCACTGTGTTAACAGGACAAACATTTACAGCAACACACACCCACACACAAAGCAGCAAACAGCCCACTGACTCAGCGTGAAAAACTTTCTCTGTTTCTGTTTGAACTCAACGATTTCCCACACATAGAGTGAGACAATGAATCTTCCTCCTCAGCTCAACACCCCCTCAAAACGATGAGGAGTCTGATGAGAATTAGAGAGGGAGGGGCAGAGAGACAAAGAGAGAGAGAGAGAAGGGATGTATTGAAATGGTGTGTGTTTGTGTTTTTATTTCTCCCTTTGACCTTTTGAGAATGAGTTACAGCTCATACATGATCAGGTAAAAGTACTTTGCACAGAAAAATAAATTATATGTGGCTGTGGCTTGTTGTAAATTGTCACGTTTTGTGGTATATAAATGTGTCCTTCCCTTCCTCAGTACTGTATACAGAGACTAGACTGAGCAGCTTTTGTGTAAATACATCGAAATAAAGAACATAAATCCTCCTCCAACTCGAACACAGGGTCACACACACACACACACACACACACACACACACACACACACACACACACACACACACACACACACACACACACACACACACACACACACACACACACACACACACACACACACACACAGTGTTTGTGCAGCCACATGTTTGATGCTCTACAAATGCCAAGCAACCCTAATATCTTACTGCACCACAATCCTTTAAATGAAGGGAGATAATAGAATAGATCAGAGCGGACAAGCAGGAAACATAATGCCAAGAAAAACTCAATATATATGTTATCCCTGAAACCTGAAATGTCATCACCTTGCTGTGATACAAATATACAAATATACAAATAATCTACAATGAGATGTTCAGAAACCATAGTGCCATGTTCTGCTGCTGAAGGACATAATGTTCTAGTTTTCATGCTGTTTCATTTTAGTTAACCGAAAACATGGTAACAACAATCTCCTGCTGCCAGTTGGTGCTCCTTCTTTACTTCAACCCCCTGTCCAACTCCTGAACCACAACCACAGCACCATAAGTGTTCAAATCTATCATATTTCAATCTTTATAAAGGCAGGAACATTTCCACTCAGACCACTTACAAGATCACATGTGAATGAAGATGCAGATTTCCTTCTTTCTCTATATGTTTGTTCATCACCTGTTAAAGTTCAGGTTGTGTTCACTTTGACTCTTTTAAAAACTCGCTTTGTCTGAAACTCCTAAAACTTGTACAAACTGCAAAAAAAACATTGATTGGCAAAATGTTGGTACTAGACTTGATTGTACGGGAGTTTGAATCTGTTTTTTGGCTGAGTTTAAGCACATCCAGAGAAAACTTTTGACAGGTGCTGGATCAAAAATCCAGCTGAAGGAAAACATCAAAAATGATCTGCACACTGTACTGAAAGCTCCCAGCAAGTTTGATTACAAAATTAATGTATGGATTTCACAGATCTTCTTCTTCAATTCTCTTCTACACACCTCTCTTTAACATAAACGTATAACTGTGACCTGTACGTGTGTGTGTCTGTGTGTGTGTGTGTGTGTGTGTGTGTGTGTGTGTGTGTGTGTGTGTGTATGTGATGGTGCAGTCTCCTTTTTTAAATGTGTTTTGGATTTAAATTGTGCTTTTGAATCTAATTGTTAATTTTTTAATGACTTTGTTGTGTGTTTGATTATATTTGTCTTCTGTAAAGCACATTGAGTTTGTGTATGTATGAAATGTATTATACAAACAAAATGTAATTTAAATTAATTTAATTGAACTCTGACAATCTCATGAGACCAGATTATTGATGTTAACTGAGTTTGTATTGGGTGGGTTCAGTGTGGGTTCAGTTTCCTCAACGTTAAACTAATGAAGATGACTTAAAACAATCATTATAAATAGAATCAAACCTCCCTTCATGTGAAGACCTGTGCTGCCCCCTACAGGTTAAGGTTAACACTCACCACTGTTGCCTGGAGGCTGGAGGCTGTGCTTGGTGAGGGAGCACCAGCCCACGGGGAAGATGTCCCTGGAGTCGTACTTGCACCAGTAATCAAAGGCCCCCCGCCAGCCGTCGAACATGATGAAGACCTCGTCGCCCTTCACTTCTCCGATGGTGGCCGGACAGATCAGGTACGGGTTCTTCTTGTCCACTGCCTCCAGCTTCATGCCCGGCTTAAAGTGGTTCTGTGTAGGCCTCAGCGGTTCCTGAGCACAAGAGAATGAATAACTTAACCGCAAAACATTTTTACATTCCTACAATTAATTCATTTTTAAAGCAGTGCGTACCTTTTTGAAAGCTGTTGCTGGTGCCATCTCTGCTCCATTTAATGTTCTCAGCAGAAACATGGGCCACGAAGAGGCATTCATCCGAAATCCTGGAAGAACAAAGTTAAATCACTTTTAAGATTTGAAGGGGCGCTGGATAGACTAGCAGTTGTGTCGCGCGTGTTCAGAGGTTTCAGGTTCATATCTGATTGCTGCGTGTCATCCCCTACTCTCTCATCCCGACATTTCCTGTCTCTCTTCAGCTGTCCTATCCAGTTAAGGCAAAAAGGCCCAAAAACAACTTCAAAAACTACTAATCTAATGAATCAGTCATACTCTTTAAACTCAATACAGTAAAGATTTAAAAAAAAAAAACATTTATCAGCCTATTATTGTTTTTAATTGTTGAAATATTTTAAATGCCTGATAGAGGTTCAGCAGACAGGTGCGAAGATAGGAGGAAGTTATTTAAACCCTATAAAAAAGGTATCCTCATATGAATGCAGAGTCTGTAGATGTGGGAATGAATTTAAAGTTTTCAGGCTTCTGTTTGTAGTTATTTTTAACGGACAAGTTTGAATGGGTTTTGTTGTGTGAAGGGACACGGCTAAAGAGGTAAAACACACTGGCACCCTTTGACTTTCATCTGATAATCATTCAACTACTCAGCCCATATTCAGACTGACCGTTCAAAGTGGCATATTAACGGCACAGTGACCTCACAAAGTCATCTCACCTCTGTACCGCCATTGGAGGTGGAAACAGAGGCATTAGAGGGGCGAGACAGGATCAGTGTGTGTGTGTATGTGGAGCTCCTGTTGTTTGTCTACACGCTGTGCTTTAGTGACACAATGTGAATTCACAGACTGGGACACCAATATTACATCGTTTCAGAATCAATATGAATCTGCAATAACAGAGGAGCTTTAGTGGAATCGCACTCCGAAAGGGGCTTTTTTAAATTAATTATTATTACAAAATAATAATTATAACAAAACATAAGAAATAAAAGTCTGGTCTCAACTGCAACTCCTTTCTCACAATTGAACATCAGAACTAAAATTAGGTTTATTGCCAACTAGGTTTTACACTCACGATTAATCTTTTGTGTTTTATTAAATGACAATGAACAAAATCATAGAATTAAAATTGAAATAGAACAGGAGTAATCCTACTAACAAGACACATTTATGAATGAATTCAACTATAAAATATGTAGGATAAGTGTTTCATCAAAGGGTAATAAAAGCTGTACTGATAGTAATGGAGTTGCTAGTTGCACTGTAAACGATTATAAGTGCATGTTTGAACACGTCTTGGCCCAGATATCTGTTAGAAGTTAGATGTGCGTCTGCTGGCAACTCAGGAAGATTTATCGTCTGTCAAACCCCCGAGGCTAAAACGGCAAGCAGATTCAGGGTTTGGCTGTGATTCAACAACTTCACATTTGTATTTAAAAATGGCCATGATTGATAATTCCTTCTGTTTTGTGAAGAGCCAATAAAAAAAAATCTCTTTTATTGTCCGTGTGCCTGCTCCCATCACCCCTGACTTTCTTACCCAGCGGTGGCTGCAGCATGTCTCCGTTCTTCTCACATGTGCCGATAGGCTGAATATCGGACGAGTCCACCAGCCTCCAGAAGTCGTTGCTGTTGTCACTTCCATCCAGACGGAGACGCAGACGCACTCCAGTTAAACCCATCACTGTGGCGATGCAGACTGAGGTGGAGTTTCGCGGGTCGTGAGCTTCGAGCTTCATTCCAACCTTGAAGTCGTTGGAGGGAGGAATTCTGGCCTGCAGATGTCAGGAAAACAGATACTGTTTGCACTGCTCATCATTCAAACACCATAGAGCTCCAGAATAGTTTCATGAAAGTCTCACTCTTAGTTATACATCAAAGCAAAAATAAAGGTTAAAGGTCATACAAAGTGTAGTGAAGACAAGAAAGATGGCTCTGTTTAAAAAAAATAAAGAACTGTGGCGTGATATGACTTATCCAGTTTGTAGTGCTATTAATAGAAACATGTTTTTCCATTTATCAGAATCAGAATCAGGGTTTATAGCCAAGTACATTTACACATACAATGAATTTGACTTGGTGTATTGGTGCTAATTAACGCAGGTACTTCCGGGTCATGTAATGAAAAATGTACTAATTCAGTTTGGTCTGAGTTTGTATGTGTGTGCAGACTTAACAGAGAAATTAATACAGCGTTGTGCAAGACTATAATTCTGCTCATTCTTACCAAGTGAGTTTAAATTCACATTTGAGTCTAAGACTGAGTCTGTCTTCAGTAAAGTGGCCTTTGGTAAGTATTCAACATGTCATTAATCCAGGACGTACCTGACGAAAACAGCTCGGTGGAGCCGGCATAGCTGACGTTTCTTTCAGATATTCTTCCCAGCTGAAAGAATCTAAAGAAGAATCATACAAACGTTTTGTTCAATGAAAGACCAGTCAATGTTCTACTTAAAAAGTCAATCAAAGATGATAATGCCTGAGCTAAATCTAACAATGTCACCAGCTATAAGCTGAAGCTTAAAGGTCGGGATACCGACAGAAAAATTCTACAATGTTTGAACTTCTCACAAGGTCCATGAGCTTGTAGTAACACATGCAGAATACCTTCCCAATGTTTCTCCATAAATGACCTACAGGCTAAACGATCATCTAAAAACCTCTAAAAACCAAGCCTCTTCCTGTGATAAACCTAGTAAATAGTTATCAGTAAATAAGACACACTAACTCAAACAAACGTCATCACAATGTCTGTAATTAAAAGCTCACCTTTTGTTGCTGCTGGAGTCGTACCTGCTGGAGGAACCGTCCTTCCCAATTTATCTTTTTTGCCATCTTTCTGATCTGTTGTAAATAATTGGGAGAAGACAAACTAATTATAAATGTCTTAAAAAAACACAAATGTTACCAACCATCCCAAACACCAGGAAGGACAAACCCCATCAAAACAATGCAGCCACTTTTAAATTGTATCTTAGATCTCTCATTTAAACTGGTGTATAGCATTCTGTTTTTTCATATTGTTGTATGTGTATTTGAATGTATCCTCATATAGTGTTATGGGGTTTTATGTGATCGAATGTTGTACATTCTTACTCTGTTTGTTTACCCAAAGGTCCAACTAGGACAAGAGTTGGAAATTAGATAAACTATATACTCTTTATGCATCACATCAGTTTCATGCTTTGTATTGAAACAATGTTCAGTTGCATTGTCTCTATGAAATAAATAAATAAATAAATACATTCAAACATGTTGAACGTGTGAAAAATAAGAGGAAGAAGAACGACCCTTTAATAAGTGTTCACATGTGACATTTTAACATGAGTCAGAAATAATTATCAGGAAACTGGAATAGATATAAAAACATTGAGTATATATATATATATATATATATATATATATATATATATATATATATATATATGCCCTTAATGCAGCTCTGAAGCCAAGAGTTTCATTACAATGGATGACACAAGAAATCTGATGAAAGACTGTGAAAGGAAGCTGTAAGTTGTCACTCTATAAATATCCTACACTCCCTTTGTAAACCCAGACAGGTGCGTTTACTTCTGGTGCCTGAGTAAAGCTCAGACTTAAGACTGCAAGGAACACAAGTTACTCTACTTTTGGTTTCTCTTTAACAAGCAGCAGAGCTTTTGGTCATGAAATTAAAGACTTTTTTACAACAACCTCTGATGTAGAAATCATAAAACAGTGGACAGGACATGCAAAACAGAGTATTTGAGTAACAAGGAAGCAGACCCCAACGTTTTTATTGCGTTATACTATACAGCTTACAGTACTGCTGCCAAGTCACTGTCAGTATAAATATGAATACCAGGGTCATTTTCCCATTGCTATTTAGATTGTAACACTGTCTAAAACTAAGCCACCACCTTTACAGTAAAAGTCCTGTCTCCGCCTCCACTACTGATATGTGTCCATGTAAATGTGATTTCAGGGGACCGTATGGACACACTGAGTCTAAACGTTTATAAAGGGAAATTAGCAATAAAGATAAACCTTCAAAGTCATGAATCATATTTCTTTCTGATAAATGAAATGCTACTCCTAACCTTTCAGCGGAGTCTTTCCCATCGTGCCTGATGACCAGTGGTGACACTTCAAAGATGACGCCCACTGGTGACCAAGTATCCTCGGTGACCGTGTTGCTTCGTTCTAAAAATGTAAGAGGTGAAAACATTTCATATGAAACGCAGATTACACATGTGGACTACTTCAAAGACATTTACTAAATAAATAACACAATGGGACACTTTCACTCAAACTATTAAAATATTGAAGACGAGACATTTGTTAGCGTTTTGAAAACAAACATATAACAAGATCTGGAAATCAAGATTTGAAGGGCAGGGCATCTCTGCAGCTATTCAGTATTTCTTAATAAATCATAGTTTTCTTAAATCTACTTTGTTCTAAACTGCAGCTCCAGCTACAACTTGGATATTACACTTTGGCATACCTTATCTATTAAATGACCATAACTCTCTGTATAACTGAGGGCCACCCCTCAATGATCGCTGTACTATAGATAAAGGTCAATTTATGTTACAGTATTACCCGTATATTGATTCATTCTACAGCCATAGTTTAATTTATGTCAGATCAAATGCATGTATGAACTGTTTGGCTTTACCAAACAATTTAAGTGTTTATTAACTTTTTCTGTTAATCTTGTGGTATATGATGTGGACAATAAAGATCTTTGAAACCTATTTTTCCAAGTAACAATCAAGGTTGTCAATGTATTTTTTGTAATTGCACTGCAGGACTTTTCCTGCCATTTTGGATCATTGAAAATGAGAAATGACTGAGTATTGTGCCTATAGGACTTCAACTTTTGATGCTGTGGTATCAAAACAGCTTTACTACTAGTATCATATCGAAGTTTAAAACTCTGGTATAAGGACGACTTTACCAATACAGTTGTTACTTGCAACTACTTGTATTAACTTGTTATTTAAAAAGAAGTGCATAATCTTGATTTAGTCTGGAAGCGAAAAGGATCAAAGCCGCAGGAAGCTACAGGACTACTGAAGTAAATAATGTGATGGCTGATTTTGTAAGCAAAAGCAAAACAGACTTTTTTCTGTGTTGTTGTAAAACATCCTCTTTTATGTACAGTACTGTGGTTTTCCTGTAATAGACACTCCTTCAGAGACGGGAAGCATGACATAGAAGGTTTTATTATGAGGTTTAACACTGAAATGACAATCCTTTGGTGTATTAGCAGGACAGCCTATATGATACTTTATCTAACTTACTGTACGTTCCCCCTGCGTTTATAACTTTAACTGACATGCTAATATCTCAACCAAAAGTTCCTTGATGTTCACACTTTTGAAAAAAGCTCTAGAGAATTAACTTTAAAAAAAATAATAAAAATAATAAAAAGAGCTGTCTGACATCGTTGGATGAAAAACAAAGAAATGTAAAGGCACTTTAAAAACACAAAGCTAATTCATTAATGGTTGATGCTATTCCTCCTTGGTTTAAAAATACTTCTGTCAACACCTGTGAGAGATTATAGGAATCATAATACGTTTGATGAATTGTTAATGGAGAATTCAGATCATTTTCTGAGTTAAAAAAACAAACAATAACAGATGTATAAGGGACACCTGTGGTAAACCTGCATCTATATTTGAATGGAATAATCTGTATACTGACATTGCCTGGAAAAATACTTGGTTATTTTTAACCAGAAAATATTTGTGTAAGGTTAAAAATAGGCAAAACGTCGACCCTCTTTCTGGGACTGCTTCTCAAGGTAGTTTTCAAGCTACTTTCTGGATTGATCTGAATCTTTTTTTTATTTTATTTTTTGGAGGGGGGGGTAGAAAACTAGATGTTGAACCGAAATTCAAAATGTTTAATGATCACACCAAAAAGTATGTTATTAATCTTGTTCCTTTAATCAGCAAAACTATACACGCAAGTACGTGTTTTAAACAGAAGCCCAGCCTTGTTGTTGTCATGTCTAACTTAAAATTCTACCTGAGAGACATTATAATATAGCACAAATCCTAAAGCCCTAAAATAACAAAGCTTTTTTGTGAGATACTTATAATTCAATTTTGTTTCATTTGTCTGCCATTATATTTGTATTATATTTATATATTATATTATATTTACTGCACTGTTATTGTAATAACTGTATTTTCTGAATTTGTATCTCGAGTCTGTCACTGAAACTTGATGCACTTAACATTTTGTGAATAAAGTTTTTATTAAAAAATGTATGGAAAACAGTTATAATAAAGCTATCATAGCTGCTTTATTCACCAATTTACAGTCACATTTATGAATCAATTAAGCTTCCTACGACACTGATGAATAAAACTTAATAAATATGTTAGGAGACATTTATAATCTGACTTTCTGTTATTATTCTCCTTTAGCTGCCTATAACTGTTAGCTGCTGGTTATGTCATCTCCCATTAGCCTTATAATGGTTATTTATCTGGTAACAGCAAGCTCAATGACGAAAATAGGTGTAACAATTGTTTACTTTCTGGCAGTTTCACTTTTAAATATCGTGTCTTTGCCCCCGTTTGGCGTGTCTAATGTGTAACATAAAGCTACCAGGTAATAGTCTGGCCCCAATGTTGACAACTGGGACTGCTCCATTTGCTAGCTACCATTGCTGGCTAATAACTAGGATGGCTAACCTTAGCGTTAACCCTCTGAGATCAGTTTCTTCCATAATATCAAGAAAAAAACCTCATAATCCGGGTCAGGCAGCTTCATCTGACATTCTTCTGAAACTCTGTAATATTTAGTCAAAAGAAAAACTTACAAGTACCGTCTTTTTTCGAGTAAAAATCCACACACTTTCCTCTAATCGTCAGCTGCCATTTTTTCACGAATGTAGTGTATGCTTACACGCATGTAATTTATGCCGAAGGTGGTATCGTGAGAAGAGGACACAAAAACGAAACGGCGAGACGAAGCGGGGGGTGCGGAGCAATAGGCCAATTAAAGCGCATGATACTTACGCTTTCAGCCAATCATGAAAACGTGTATTCATTTTGTCCAATCAGCGTCTTGAGTACCATGGCGGCGATTTCGGCTTCTGAAAGTAGTACACGTTAGTCATCTAATTTTTCTCCTATCTTTGATGGGTTTTTCTCATGCGTCCCCCGTTGAGGTTCAAAAATAATCAAAATTCACAGTAAATGTCAGAAAAAAACGTGTACTGTATTTTTTACAAATGGACTTAAAGAAAAAAGAAGATACATAAAAAAATATTGAGGGGAAATAAAGAACCAAACAAACAAAGAAACAAACATGAAAATCGATTTTTAACCAAACGCTTTGTCATTTCGGACAAACAACTCAAGCGCTATTCTGAGGAGGTTGTTTGATTTAGATTATGGAGGGAAAAACTGATTTAAACTAGTCAACACATCATTAAGCAGTAATTTCCCCATTTTAAAGTTATTTAAAAGTGAAAAAGAAAAATGCATTACCTATAATAAAGGGTTTACAATTAAAAAAAACAACAGCCCTGATAACATTATAATATATGCCTGCAATATCTTGATCAAATATATTATGAGTTAAGGCTACAATAACGACTGGATACAAAAACTATACAATTTTAAAATATATATAAACAAAAGTTTGAATGGGAAATATAATTGAACATTTTAATTTCTGATTTAAAAACCGATTGTAAGATTTTGAAAATGTGTGTTACAAAATCGGAAAAAATGTGGACAAATTAGATCACAAATAACAAGGACCACTCAAGAGTTTATCATAGTGAAAGTTGGTGACTTTACAGCGCGCCTGTCAATTAAAACAGGGATTACGTCATGGTCACATTATGGTCACATAATAACATGACTCAGAGTAACTTTCCATGACAACTTTCTTGTGTTTTCCCTCGCCCACACATTTCCTGTTAAGCATGTTATCACGCCATAGGCCATGTGTCTAACAGTATATTTGCTCTAGTAATTAAATATGGTACGTTTATAATGAATGCATTAATAATGAATCATTCATACAAAATAAATGCCTGTACAATACAACCAGAAGGAAAGCTTCTGCTCCATTACATATATCTGCCACATTGTTTCATCATACAAATGACTTAATTTCTGTACAAATGTCAATAGCAGGCCTACACATGCCTGTGTGCATTAGTTATATTGTTATTGTAGGGGCTTTCATCAGCTGGCTCAGGTCGTTGTTGTCTGCTTTTGTTCAGCAGCTGTGTCTCAGCTGGACTTTAACAATAGGAACTGAAGAAAAGCTGTGACTTATTTGTCATATTCCAGAAAGATTGTAGTGATATCTGAAACACAATATAAATTATATATTCCTTTACATATATTCTTAAACTTCATTTTATCTGAGATAGTCTGAGGGATGAAAACTGCTTTAAAAAAGAAGTCTCTATACTGTCCCATGTACATATTGGATGTTTACATGTGTAAAGGTGATTTCGGCTTATATAGTCCAGCTTTAACAGAAAGATATTGTTTTTTTTACTGAATAATGATTGGGTGTGAATCCATGTTGTGTTTTTATTTTTATTTTGCACTTTACTTTTATTTTCCTATCCTTTTGAAATGTTTTTGTGTCTTTCACAATTATTTTTGTGTACTGAAGAAGAAGAAGAAGAAGAAGAAGAAAATATACTTTATTGATCCCGCAAGGAAAAAAAATCAGTTTTACACTCTGTTATTGAGACATGCTACACACACATAGGCTGAAAGACACACATACACAAACAGGATCCTATGGACATGCACTAATGGAGAGATGTCAGAGTGAGGGGGACCGGGACTGGGACTTCAACCAGCGACCCTCCGGTTCCTAACCCAAGTCCTAGAGACTGAGCTACTGCTGTGTCTCTTCTTTACCCTTAAGTCACACACATAAAGTTGTAATATAAATTTGTTTAGTTCATTTTTTTTTTTTAAATTGAAGCAAAAGAAAGACTTTTAATTATTTACAACTGTATCTATTTTAAAGGATCACAGTAAATATAAGAAAACACATTATACTGACCTGAAAATGGAATCTACGATGTAATATTTTTCCACAATATTTTTTCTATTTTGCAAGAATTATTTTTGAAATACTGTGAAAAACACAATTGTTTTTTTCTTTGCAGGAGAGCCTTAAGTAGATCTCACCACTATAAGCAACATGACCTTTGTCTGAGACATAAAAGCTAGGACACGTGTTCAAAATGTATTGTTTATGATTTCTCTATAAAAACAACTTTTGGCATCAAACCAAGCTGCTCTGACCTTTTCAACTCATTGTCTTTCTTTCTCTTTCACTTATTAGATTGTGCAGCCTGCTGCATATCCTGCATGCAAGAAGTTTCTGACTTTGGGATGAATGGATGTTTGAGCTGTAATGATGATTTCTACTGTTTATGTCAGTCATTTTTCATCATAAAAATCATTATGAAAACATTTTACAAAGGTAAAGTCTCCATCATGACTATCAGACTATGCTCTTTTTAAATACCTGATAGCTAAACAATGCAGTGCTTCATTCAACTACTTCTGAAAGAAGATTCAAAGCTGCTCTTCTTGCTGAGGACTCTAAGTTCCTTATCTGCAGAAACAAAGCCAAGGCTGTTTTATGAGTTTGTGGTGGACAGAGTTGTCCTGTTTGTGGTTGTGGTTTGTTAATTCAAAAGATGCATGGCGCCAAAGAACCTGATGAACCCTAAAGTCTGTGGTTTTGTAGAGGTGGAGCTGGACTCTGTGGTGTTAGTGGTGGTTTGTGTGTGTGTGTGTGTGTGTGTGTGTGTGTGTGTGGGGGGGGGTTATAGAGGATGATGCTTTTAAAGCTACATGTCATTTTTACCGGAGCTTCCAACAAACTCTGTGACACGCTGGTCAAACTCAGGAGAGCTTTTCAAAGCAGGAACCACAAAGCACTACAGGAAGTCGAGTCTGCCTGTCAGACTCTTTGACTCAATATTTCACCCCTATTAGCAGCAACAGCAAAAAAGCATTTTATTATTATTTCTTTTACTTATATTTTCATAATTTTGTGTAAAAACTAATGGTAGTTTACATCAGCATACTGTAAATATTAATATATTGTCTGCATTTACACTGCATTGCATGTTTTTGTATAATGTTAATAATGCAACTTACCCTTTCTTTGATCTTCTAGTGTTTCCTAATGATGCCGTTAAATGTTAGGGTATGATGCTAATGTGGTGGAATGAACTTCCAAACTCCAGAGTCTCTCTGCACCTTTAAGAAAAAGCTAAAGACCCAGCTCTTTCATGAATACTAACTTAATGATGATGGTCTCCATATTATTGATGATGATGATGATGGTAATGACGATGGTTTTTGTTTGATAACAATGACTTATAAGATGGTTTCTATACTGATTAGAGCTCTCAAGAACTGCCCTCAATGTTGTGCTTTGCCTCTGGTCACTTCCTGTCAGCACCTGTGTGTCAATGTGCTGACAGCTGACAATGTGCTGTACTTACTCTCTGATGTACGTCGCTTTGGATAAAAGCATATGTTAAGTGAATTGTAGAATTGTAGAATTGTAATGCATAAAATATACAATTTTTGAAAACGACTATTTCTTATGATCTGCATTCTTTTCATTTATCTTTGCATATTGTTCTTCTAATGGTAAATAGACTTGAGCTTGTATAGCACTTTCCTAGTCTTCTGACTCTCAAAGCGCTTTTACACCGCAGGTCACACATTCAAACCCACTCACACACTGATGGCAGACGCTGCTATGTAAAGTGTCCATCAGAAGTAACTAATCCCATTCATACACATTCATATGCTGCCAACGAAGCAGCGGAAGCGATGATAGACATGATTGTTGCATGTACAAATTTGCAGTGGGCTATAAAATGATCAAATATTTGTATTTTACAAAAACAGTGAAATAACAATACCCAAAGATTATAGATCTGACAGATCGATCATACAGAAATGAGCAATAAAAAAAGTATTTGTTATATTTATGAAATCTCTTCTTACTTTGTATTGGCTGGATAGATAATTCTGCCTGGATGAAGATGTCCAGACTTTGTAAAAGATTCAGTCGCTCCTGCATTGTTGATTCATTCTGAAATAAAATCAAAATCATAATCATAATCCAAAACCATCAATCATCAAACTAACCCATAGAAATATTTGCATGGTTAAGTATAACAGTGTAAGTTACCTTTATGTTAATTGATCCAGTTTTAGGTTCATCCTGTAGGTGGCAGCATGGTTTCATTTCATTTCAAAGCATTAAAGACTTTTACTTCCTTCAGAGTTTTTTGAAAGTCAATAGTAGTTTTTTTTTGTTGCTCTGCTCTCCTTATTTTATATTTTCAAGAGGAGTTTGTATAGGCCTACATATATACCTTGATTGTATACCGTGATTATATATATATATATATATTTATTCATCAATAAAGATGTTGCTTTTCAAGTACAAAGTGGAAAGTTGAACATTAAAGTCAAATATTAATGTATTGAACACAAAGATGAACATACAATAAAGTAAAATGTCAAAAATATTCCGCTTGTTTTGAAAGGTTTGTCTTTAATATACTTTGCCCTGATAGGCTAGTTTTCAATATGTTGACTTCATCCTCAATAATAAATCATTTAATTCACAAAATGCAATTAAAAAAAAAAACATGTATGTGTGTTCCTACAGGCATCAATCAAGCCATATTTCTCTGGGTTAAGTTAGAGTGGGATCAACGGGGTCCTTCTCGAAGAAAAAAACATGAAAAATGATACCATTTTCTGCATTTTGAAACATTTATTATCAAAGAATGGGAAGTATATTTCTCAATCAGTTCGGAGGTCTCAGGTTAACCTCAGTTGAATTATGCAGAATTCCCTACATTGTAACTGCTAAAAAAGATTTTGCAGTATTTTAAAATCAGATTATGAATGGGCATGACACTTCTGTGTGTCCCTTATTTCCCCCAGCAGTACTGCTGGCCACCCTGTGCAAGCCGTGTGGATCCGCCACTGTTAGCCTACTGGTCAAAGTTTCCTGCAAGCATCAATTTAAATGCATCATATTTCCTCCTTTATTACAAAAATGTTCCCATAAAAGTTTACTTTATAGAATTTATATGAATGTTGTCATACTCCCCCCTCACACAGCAATCACAATAACCTGGAGGTGTGAATAACTGCAGGCCAATTACATATTTTTGCAATGCTATTTATCCATTCCTGATAATGCAACATTTCTGCTGGTATTATCACTTTGGTATGTCCCTTAGATAAATAATGTTATCATACAAAGTGCAGGGTGTGTGTGAGCTTGTGAATTATGTAATTGAGAAATTAGAACAATAATATCCCACCTCGTACGAAACACCCTCAGACCGCAGCACAGTTTTTACAGCCGTTCTGCTCTCTGATTGGTCCAAGAGGAGGAGGCGTTGAAATAAACAAGCGTTCCAAGCGCTCTCATTGGTTTGTCGTCACGCCGCTCAAAACTGTTGCCTGGTGATCCTGCTCGCAGCTTGTCAACCGCACGATCCAGTTACTGTAGCTGCCTGCTGCAATGAAAATATCTCCGTTTGTGGGTGGATTTATGGGCCGAGGTCCATCATCTTTTTTACCAAACACTGACTGAGTGAGTACTTTATTTTATCAGTACACATTAAACCTCTTTCTATGGTGTGAATTTCTTCTGTTGGAGCTAACGAGGGGGAGCAGCGTTTCAAGCGTCAGGTTTGTTTTAAGCTAATTTGCGGTTTTGTGTTTTTTATTTAGTGAAACAGGCAGAGAGCACAACTAGCTTGATTTCAAGACAACTAACCAGAGTCCAGGCTTAAAAAACGATGTTTAAGGGAGTCAGTGTTGAACTAAGTTGGCCTGAGTGTTGTCATATGTTTGACTTGTTGGATTTATGGCTGCTTCTGCATTGAAAATGTGGGAGTTAGTTTCAATTTAATCTGTGGGCAGTGGAAGCTCTGTCTCACACACACACACACACACACACACACACACACACACACACACACACACATACACATACACATACACATACACACACACAAGGTACAGTCCCTGTGAAAACAGTCATTTCACAGTAACATTTCTGTCTTGTATCTGTGTGTAAATGGGCTGTTAAGGATGTGACAGAAGGAGCAACAGGACAGGTGAATGACAGGTATTTCTCCAGGAGGCAGTTACTTTCTCATCCTATGTCTGTTTCTGCAACATTTAACCATAACTGTAAATGTTTGCTGTTTCTTGATGCTCTAATTTAATGTATATGTGTCTATAAATGTGTTGTTAAGTTACCTGAATATGCACTGACGTAAGCTTTACCAACTATTTTTTATTTGCAAATTCTGTACCATTATGTCTAAGTTGAATGATCATGAAGAGATATCAGGCATAGATGAACGTGATGATAGCACACTGATGATACGAGGTGGTTTAAATGTCCTGCATTTTGAATTCCACAGATTAACTCCATTACCACGCATGAGTCATTCTTCTGTTGATCGAGGAGAAATATACGATCCACAGCAGTGCCCAGTGCATTCCTGATCATATTAGCCTTCTAGGTCTGGGCCTGGTAGAGCAGTTGGCTAAAAAATCTGCTCTGAAAAACAATAGGCTGCATGCCACTGCATGGAGGAAGCACTCTGACGCACTCATGTTTGAAAAGAACGGATGACCAAAGGCATTTTCTCTGCAGCCTTCAGTGTTTTAAGTTGAGGCTTCTGTCATCCTCCTCCAGTTTTACCTGTGTTGATGGTGTGTGGCTGAGTAAGATAAGGGAGTAAAAGACCACGCAGCGATGTTTAGCGTTCAGGGAGACTGAGTTTATTTTGGTGCCGAGGTTTTGCATACTGATGAGCAGCTCCTGTGCCCACAGCTCCGTAGGAGACTGGGAGAGTGAGTAGGCTACACGAGTCCTTGAGCTTTTCCCAGAAAGGAGAGGATGAAATGGAGAGAGTGGTATCAGGAGTCTTATCTGATTCAATAAGAGTAAAGAGTGTGAGGATACCGGAGGAGGTTCTTTAATCGCATTAACAGATTCTGTGATGCTGTTTCACTCTGCAGAACATAAATGCACTTCCAGGCATTAATTAACGGTATTTTCCATTTGTTTTTTTGAGGTATTATGTTTACTTTTACTCAGATTTTCTAAAGGGGCACTTCACTGATTCTACACAAGAGTGTCGGTTTACCTGACACTGAAAGGACCCAGGTTTAGAAAGTAGTTGTGTAATGTCCTCTGGGGCTCTAGATGGTTTCTTTCTAGGATCTGAAGTTAACCCTCATTATGTCAAGAAGGTTATCTGATGATGTCATCGGTGTTATCGTGAGAGATAAGGCATGACATTTCAAATATTTTGACAGATAACATGTGCTATCAGCTGTTTTCAGCAAGTTTGACAGATAAGGGCATTAATCAGGAAGCAACACGAGCTTTTAGAGGGATTACAACCTGCTAACCAGATATCTGATTTTTGTTGCCCAAACTGAAATTGTGGTCAGGCAGCTATGCAATGACAAAGTGAGCTGAAATGGTTGCAGGACAATGTCACATTTTACCATAGACTTTACTAATAATAACATAGACCAGGGGTGGGCAACTGGTGGCCCGGGGGCCACATGCGGCCCCCATCAACCCTCAATGTGGCCCTCAGGTAAATTTTTACATATCAATGAATTGGAATTATGAAGAAAATGTGACAAAATCTGCCATGAAATCATGAAAACCAGAAATACGTCCATAATAATATTTGATCACTGGCATATGTTGAGTTAAATTTGAGACATAATTGATTTTTTTAAATAATTGATTCATAATTGATCGTTTTTGTATACTACAATTTGGCCCTTTGGCAGGGAGAATTAATTGAATGTGGCCCTAGCTGTGACCAAAGTTGCCCATCCCTGCCATAGACAAAGCCTGAGTGACGTCTCCCATTGGTTTCTGAAGGGGACTTTGGAAGCCCATCGATGACAGTGGCCATGTTGGAAATGCTGTCTCTATCAAACTTTCAGTCGAGGATAGACAGGAAATGTTAAGTTGTTGAGAGAGGGACTGTGCCTCTATATGCTTCTATAATGGACAATCATGTCCATCATGTTAATGTTCCCCATTCCGATACTCATAGTGGGATGCAAATACCGTATTGGTCAGTCAGGGTGGAAAAATGCATTTAGTAAGTAGTAGCTGTTAACATTTCAATACGTCTGTAGTTCAATACTTCGTGATATCATTGATTTGAAAAGATACAATCTCCATTATTTAATGATCAATACAATCAAAAAGCACAAAAGCTTTAAAAACACCACAGGTCTCCTGTCATATTTTTAACCGGAAGCTGCAGTGAGCTAAAAAGAGAGGGAGCACTCACTGTGTAAATTGTACAAATACAAGGGCAATGTTTTTGTACCGAAGCCATGCTGGTGTGTTTGTGCAATTTAACTGTGTGCAGAAGTTTTCCTGCAATTTGTGCTTATGAAATGACCAAAAAATTGGGTGCCTTTGTTGCCATGGTATCAAACCAGGTTTCTATATCACTTTGGTTTTTACTAGTATCATATCCAAGATTAAAATTCTGGTATCATAACAACCCCTAGCACTAAGAATATCAATTTAGGAATAAAGGAACACATACTGTAGGAGTTGAAACACAGTGTTACCCTCTGCTGCTTTGATTGTAACTCCTCTCTCTGACTCCTGCAGATGCCCCAACTGAATGGAAGTCCATTACTGAATCACTAAAGTGCCCCTTTAACTCAAGGAGACAGGGCTGTAGAGGAGCAATTTCATGTCGTTGTGGTACTACTGTCTAACTCTACAGAATGAGCTTTATAGTATAGTCGTCTTGTTGAGCATTCATGCAATCATACATCAGGTTGACTTATCCCATACCTTTGATTTCAGCTGTTTATCTTTGCAATTGTAAAGGTAAATACATTTGTATAAACACAAACATATAATTTTCTGTCCTTGTTGTGCAGGTGAACGTGAGCCACTAAAGAAGGCATGCAGCGGATATTATGGCTAACAGCCGACACACTCCCCTCGGGAGCCAACAGCTGGCTGCCTCATGCCATCCTGTAGCTGGGCCCCCTCCGCCTGAGCTCCATGCACCTCACGCATCACCCCTTTTGACTTCATGAAGATCCCTGACATCGGTGATGTGATGAATAAATTTGAAGTCCTTGGGATTGTGGGTGAAGGTGAGACGTCTGATTTTATTCATGTTATGAAGCATATTTTGTTTATTTACAGTCTGCAGCGGTGAGTCCAGTCGAGTCTCTAGCCTCAACTGTTGATGTGCAGTGAAACATGCACTCACAGGGCTTTTCAGTGAGCAATCATTTGATTGTTTTTATCCAATTTGCCTGTGGAACAAGGCTGTTAAAAGCCTGATGTGTTGTTCATGACTGTGCAACTCAATAAGGTCAAGGACAGTTTTTAAAATATTTATTCACGAGGAAGGATTTTAACATGGAAAAACTGAAGCTAGGTGACCTGAATGTTTCCTATTGTGTTGTTATGAAGGTGATTTTTCAGATTCAGTTTCTTGCTGTAAATATCAATGGGGCAGGGTGATTTGAAAGTTAAAATCCCCTCAACATGCTCCTCACTGCTTTTCTCTTCCCCCTTGAGCCTCTTGGTTGATATAAAGTGGCAGGAGCCCTGAGGTGAAGCCACCCACTTGTCCCAGTTTTTAACACCCGTACTCCCACATCCTAGAAGTTTTATAATGTGCGTATCATGTGTCCCTAGAAGACACAGGGAAACTTAGAGCTGCATTTTGAAGGGCTGAGTGGCCGACCAAAGATGAGTTGTTCTGGAAGGAAGTCAGCACTTTTTGTGCCACATTAAACTGTAAAGTTGTAGAAGTTTTCCTCTGCAGCTCTACTCTCTGCCCCTGCACTCACAGCACAGTGTGCTCCACTCGATCCAGCATCATGGATTTTTTCCTCAGTGATCTTGAGGTCAGTCAATTTTGCTAATCATTTAACACTGAGTGCAGCGTGTCGACTCACTCCGGCTATTACAAATACACAGAGCCTTATGTAATTATATTGAGCTCCTTTAGTGATGACGGAAATGGATGGAGCAAAACTGGTGGTTTTTCTGTTTTTAGCACGTAAAAATCAGGTTGTTTGGGATTTGTAAGACCTTTATATTTCCATGGATTTGTCTCGTTGCACAGTCTTGCAAACAGTAGGTTTTCCATTGGTGAAAACCAATATTGAAGACTTTAGAGTAAGCTTACAAATATTGTTAATGCCAAAAGTTACATCAAGTTTGTGTCCAAGCTGATTTCAGTCCTCTTGATTCTTATTTAAAATGATAAAAAGCATGTCTCTTATATTTCTTTGAAATAATTCAGTGATATCATCAATGTATGCTTTTAATTTGTAGCCATTTGATACAAACTGATTCACTTGTATAAATGAAAAAAACACTTACCCAACAAACATTTCTTAAAGAACTTGTAAAAAATGTTGACTGAAGATGACCATGGCTAAGTTTTGAAAGTTTTTAGGATCAGGCAATTCATAACAAAATGCAGAAATAATAGGACCTGAGGCCAAATATTACAAATTTAGAAGATTTTGAGCAAACAAACTAGACGAAGATGGAGCCAAAGGTCATAATCCTGAAATAATTTACAACCTCCCATCAGAAACTTGTCTTGAATTTCCGTTCCTCATCCACTTTTGGTCTCATATATTCAGCGGCACAGAGAAAAATAAAAAAAAGTAGAAGGAAATTGATAACCAAAGCTGAAGGGCTGCAGCTCCCTGGATCGCTAAATATTCAATGTGTTGTGTGTTACCTAAGGTAGGGTTTTAAGAGCCTTAAAGATGTTTTTCATGTTTTTAAAATGAAAGAATGTAGGAAATAAGACAAAAAATGTGATGCAAAGAACATTTTATAGTTGAAATGTTAAAAGATGCACACATTGTTCTAGGACTGAAACTTATTACAGTACCACCTCCTGCAGCGTTACAACATGTTTGCATGTTTCTGTCTCAGATTTGGTGTTTTCTGCACCCTAACCATGTCAGAGAGACTGTTAGTATACGTAAGTATCCTCGTGTAGAGCCGAGATGACTTCCTGTGGCTCTGATGAGCTGCTGAAGGAGCACGGAGCAGTTTGTCATATGCCTGCTCAGTTCATGAATTCCTCTTGAACCCTCGGGGGGATTTGTGTGTGTGACTGCCAGGGTCGATAACATCAGAACTACAGTAGCCTGCCAACACTTGTGTCCTACTTTCTGAGCCACCTGTCCTTTTATAGTGGGGGATGTTTTTCTTTAATTCATGTGAACATATGAGAAGCTTTAACAAAGAGAGTTTGAAGTCTGTTTCTCTTGTACTGAAGCAATATGTTTAAATAAAAGGAACTTCGTAGCTTCTGGACTTACTCTAACTCTCTAAATCCAGGAAGTTGTTGTTTGCTCATGCTGGAATTGCAAACCCCCATTTTTAAACCAAATGAATGCTGTTGTTTCTATAACTATTTCATGTGGGTCTGCTTTTACGTAAAGTAGCTCCACTTGAACATGTGGACTTATTGTGTGGAATAAGTCAACATTTTGAAAAGTATCCAAAAGCCATGGTCAGTTAAAACTATGGTTTGATTTTCTCTTAGGTGCCTATGGTGTTGTTTTGAAGTGCCGACACAAGGTAAGATCTTATACCCTTGGTTATAACCACCTCACATTTTGTCTTGTTAAACCATTTCATTCATCAATCCTTGTAAACAACTACTTTAACGTTGGAGAAAAAAACTACATCTGAGATTTTGGAGTGAGCTGAAAACTATTTAGAATATATTTCAAACATGGGAAAGCAAGAATGTGGAACCGAAAAGCCAACGTAGATTTAAAAAGACAAATGTGGTGACCTCTTTTTTTTTATCCCTTTGTCAACAATTTCCATGAATCAGCTAAAAACCAACAATAACGTGATTCTATTAGAACATTAAGCCATTGACACATTTTTAATAGCTTTGTTCATTACTATTAAAAACCCGTCAATGAGCCTAAATGTTGCACCAGATGACATGCTACTTTGTTGCCTCAAAAACACACACAACACACACAGTTCATTTTCTTTTTTCTTTTTACAAAATCCCGCATTAATGGTTCTAAAGCCCAGAAAAACTCACCAGATCCAAATCTGGACTCAATCGCAATAAGAAATAGTTGTGTAAAATGCCTTCCACTGGAGTCTATTTGAGACCCAAGATTATTTAATGCTTTTAGAAACTATTAAATTACAAATATATGACCTGATCTGTCTTGATGTTGAACCTATGGGGTTAGCTTGGAGTCAACGTCATGCTCAGTAAGTCACACAAAAACACTGTTGGTTTTGGTCTTCTTATTCCTGACAATAACAAATACATATACGCAAAGATGGACACTGTGTCCTGTGTGTTTATCTGACAAAAGGGCGACTTGTAAAGCTCAATTTGTAAAGGATCAGAATGTCCTGCAGAAGCCCAGAGATGTTGGCCTCGGTGTGTGTTTACGGTTCATGTAAGGTGACTGGTTTTAGCACACCTGGGTAATCCATGTTAGTTTACTGCACTGGTCCTTAGCTGTAGATTTACCGTAATGCTTTAAGTGGCTCCCATGGCTGGCTTGATAATTAATTGTAGTCTTTTGTCTCTGCTTGGAATAATCGCTGAAGAGGATCTGCTTTGAATAGACACACGTTTATCAATTTAAATTCATCCTCTCCTCTGCCACTTCATTTTTTTTTCACTCACGTAAAAGCAGCTGGAATATGCTATTTTGCATTAAAGCAATTAAGTTTCTAGACAAAAGAATGAGAAAAAGAAAGGGAAAAATAACAAAACAATAAAACAGCAGGGCTATGAAAAGCAGGCGACCCACACTGCAGCTACAGCTTTGTCATCTCAGCCCATTTAAGGAAGAGGCTGTGCCACGATTTGACGACAATCCAGCATGAATAAGAGAGACTAACTACCTCCTACTTACAGAGATCTGCAGGAAACAAAACACTTTCTGAGCTTTCCTCATCAAAATCCTTGATGCTTCTGCTGCTCAGCAGTATGCAATCTGCTGCTTTCATTACAATGTGTGTTGCAGCGATGACCTCACTCTGTGTATCCATTAGCACAGGTTTTCTGATGAAGGCAGGTTAGCTTTAAGTGTCAGGAAGGAAAAAGACAGCAGTACCAGACTGGATGTTGAGTGAGAGGAGAAAAAGAAGAAAAGTCATGCTTTAAGCCAGAATCACAGCCTATAATTACTGCGCTTCATTGTTCAGACTGATTGATCCTGGGCCCAGGCGGCTGCAAAATGTCAATGTTTCCATTTTATACAAGAGAAGTCCCATCAATAGACCTCAGTTTGGTCCACACAACAGACGACGGCTGTTTCTTTGTCTGCAACACGTCTTCATTGTGCGAAAATCTGTCATCAGCATCATCATAGCAAATATTTATCATCCTGAACGAATGAGGACTTTGTTTTTGACAAACACTTGTTCAGTAAAAGGTTGATCAGAACATTTGATATAAAAGCCACAGACACATCAGCTGCTCTGGTAGTGTTGAGCATTAGAACATGGATATTCTCCAATATAGTATCATATGATTAAAAAGTGCAGATATTGACTTTAATGTCAGTCTCTGTATCCAGTTTGGCCTTTGGCACTGGATTGGATATAATTTTATTAGATATATTAGATAGTAAATGTCATATTCTTCACATGTCCAAAGGTCATTAGTGCTACTGATGCATAGGACTTAATATGTGAATGTCTTTTTAGATAAAGTATGTAGGATCTGGCTTTGTGTTTAGGTAGATGTTATCTTTTTATTTAACACACTAGCATTAGTAGAAGTAGTTCAGTATGAAAGCAGAAGTAAGGATGCACTGATGCATCAATTGAATATTGGTATTGGCCGATAAAAGCCATGTTGGAAAAAACTGGGAAGAGGAGAGACAGCTAGCAATGACTAATACATCAAATCACATTGAGAAGATATCGTTTAGAAGAAGTAATGAAAAAAACATGTATTGGTATCCAAATCGGCTCAACTGTAATTTAATTTATAAAATCAGTATCGGCCTTATTTTTACAACTGGTACAGCCTTGAAGTAAAATTAATTTTCTTCCCCCAATTGAGTAAAGAAATAAACAAATTCTGATTCAAATGTGCAGAAATCCTGATTACTCAAATAAAAGTTGATTTCAGATTTTCATTTAAATAAATGTCTCATCAGTAATTTTTTCAGATAAGTTGGCAAAATTGTGATTAAATGTATTGGTAACTAATGAATGCCGCTGAAGTATGTTAATATATTGTAATTAACAAGGGGCACAAAGTGAAAATCCAAAGGGGAGAAAACACAAAATAGATAAAACAGTCTGTGAGGGACCCTGTTTGGATCTCTTTTGGTCCTCCATTCCCCCAGCTGAAAAAACCCTGAATGTCTAATGAAAGCGGATGTTTGTGCACTTTCGGGAGCACAGTAGCTTTGGCTGCTTCTGGTTCCTATGATACAGAATATCCACAGAAGTAAAGATGTCGTTGCAAGTTAGATTACCGGCTGTGGATGGAGGGAAGGCTGAAGTATGTAGAGGGAGTGAACAGACCTGTAGGTATGTGGGATACTCAGGGACCCGTTGATGTTGTTCAGTACCTGCAGGCGTTATGTAGGATGTGAAGGTTGAGGTGTTTGTCCCGCCCCTCCCCCACTGTGATTTGACAGATAATAAGTTACCGTGTCAAGTGAAGTGTTTTACCCAAACTTGAGCGTTTTGAAACAATCAGCTGTGCAATGGTCAAAACAGAACCGTCTTGCTGCTGGCAGAAGTAGCAGTTTACAAATATCAGGTTTCTGTCTTTGCAAAGGATTAAAAAGGAAGTCTGGCTTCAGTTAGAAAACACTTGTTGGACACAGGGGCGACTGAGGTGTTTGAGAATTGTATTTTTTTTTTCAAAAGAGTTTAAATAAAGTCATATAATGTGAAAGTATAAAATAATTTTTGATGAAAATGTACAAAATAGAATCACCCTATTTTGTTAATCGAATTTGGCTAAGACACTAAAGGCTTAAAAGCTGCAGCACAGCCTCACACCATGTCCTAACAGCATGCGACTCAAGAAAGTGTGAGCTACAAAATCATCTTGATTAAATCGTTTCCTATTTGAGTGTCCTAACAGCCTGCCAGCAACGCAGCACAAAACAACACGATGCAACGCACCATTTTTAACTCAACGGCCGTTTAATATTTCCATTCCTGTGACACACCTAGACATGGAAGAGGAACGAGGAAGGAGGGGGCTCTACCAGGCCCTGAAAGTGTCTGACAGGAAAACTTGCCTTAGATTTTCTTTCGCTTTTCCCACTCAACAGAGCTTGTAAGCTTGTTTTAAAAAAATGGAGATTGTTAGCACAGGAAAACTTTATTCGGCTCACCACAAGCCGCTTATTGAAGAGCCTTTGAGGGATGGGATTTGAGTCAATGTCTCGTCAACACGAAGTGCCACACTTGTCCACCTTCAATACAAAAGCACCACATCATGTAATGTTTGCAAGGGAAAACTGAAATTCACAGAGCTAAGCTAATAAGTAAATATTTACCGAGGGCAGTGTGGATAGCTAACGTTGGATGCTGCGCGATGTGACTTGATATCCAACATGGCCATGCTGTTAGGACACAATGTCAGACAGTGAAAAAGTTTAAAACTAGCTTGGACTCCGATGATTAAAAAAAAAAAAATCTCTTTGTCTGCCTAATAAATAATGAGGTCTCTGTTTGCTAACAATATGTTTTGGTGGTGTTTGCCAGCTGTCTCCCTCAATGGCAAAAAAATGTCCCATATAATTCAGATTTGAATCACTTTAAGGTGAAAATGTCACCAAGTTCTTAATTTCAACATCCTGAATGTTAAATAACATACAGATGATCAGCGTTGTTTGAAATAATCTCTTAGTTGGATTGTTACTTCCTTGTTTTGTTTAAACTCTGAAACAGATGCAAAGTAGTAATTTTTAATCTTCATAGAAGAAGATTTAACCCTCCTACTGGCTCCTTTTGATTGGACAATAGTGTGCATCACTGCTAAACAAAACAGCTGATTATGGGTTCTGGTCTGCGAAGTATGTACCGTGCTGTTTTATTTAGAGCTCGCTGTGTTTTCATCACTTGATTCCACGTGAATTCATGCAGCCAATTTGGAATATCTTTTTTAATTAGCTTATTACCATTTCTTTATTTGTCAGGCATATAACAAAGGAGTAACAATCCCCAGGAAGTCTGGCATTTTGCTCAATACGTGGGCTTGTTTGTGTGTTTGAGATTCCATTATATATGCAGCTCTGATCGAGTATGTGTTGGTAAGTTTTACTGCTGGACGTGTGAGAGCACAAGAGGGATGAGTTCTCTGGATGCAGATCAATGTGGACCAGTGCCATCTGGAAATATCGTATTGTTAGTGTGAATGGACTGACATGTTTTTTCAAGGGCTAACTCGCAGCTCCGTGCTGCATAATTATGTGTGCATACATGCAGATGTGGGCGAACAGTCAAACACACATGCATCAGCACACACACACACACACACACACACACACACACACACACACACACACACACACACACACACACACACACACACACACACACACACACACACACAC